CCACTCCAGTGAGCAGGGTAAGAAGAAAGATATTTGCTGATCCCTGCGCTGTTGACAGTGCCATGAGCGCCCAGCGGCCCCGGCAGACCTCTGCCAGGAGGGCACACTAGTCCAGGAAGAGGCCGTTTACAGGGAATCCACTGAAAACAGATCAAATCACATGGAAGTTTAAAAATTAATCTTGACTAATGAAACTAAATTATGAAAACAAACCTGTTCCATCTCAGGCTTTATAAAATTTGGATTAAAAATGCAATTAGGCACTAAAGTTTTAGAACAAAGAAAGATTGAATTGAGAATTGGAGGTCTGGAGCATAGTTTTTCCAAAACAGTAATGATTTTTAGAAAGCCAACATTCTTCCACCATAAATGGAGATATTTTTGCAAATATGTCTGCCAATGTCACCCATCTGCCCAGAGGTTTTCCTAGTCCCTAGGTGATCAGGTTGCTGCCTTTGAAGCGGTAGTTCCGTGCTTCTGTGGCACTTGTGGAATTCTCTGTCACTGTTAACTGACCTAAACCCGTTTGTCAATGCCTTTGCCACGGATGTGGCCTAAAACATTCTCACTGACTAATGAAATCCTGACATTTGGTAGATTTATAATTTTACTTTGCAGGTAATTACAAATCTGTTACACTAATGAATCAAATTCATCTAGCCTGTTATTTTCGACTGCATAAAGTTGAAAAATGCAAACAGGGTTTTAAAAGAGAAGTTTAATTTTCTCTGGTGTAAAAATTTTCTCTGGGAGGCAGGCTGACTAGGGCTGGTCAATCGTGCCAGGGACTCACATTACTTATTTGTCTCCTTAGCACTGGGGTATGGCCTGTCTTCAAGGCCACCTCACATACCAGACAAGATGCTATAACACCAGCCATCACATCTGCATCTAGCAAGGAAGGTGTAGAGTCAAGGTCCTCCCAACTCTTTTTCCTCAGTTCCAATCTGCCTTGTATCTCATTGGCCAGATTTCAGTCACATGACCCCCCCACCCCACCCCCCTTTTGCAAGGGAGGCTGAGAAGTATAATCTTGTGCCTGGGTGTCTGCAACTCTAAGGGCCAGTGTTCTGTGCCTAAGGATGCAGGGAGAACTGGGGCAGCCGGGCAGCGATGAGTCTCTGTGTGTGGGAGCAAACCGGTTCTACAAGGCTAATTCCTGTGAATGTTTTCACTTCTGGTGACCAGTACTGCTCTTAGCCTCATCAGACAATTGCACAACTCACCTTGCACACCGGCCTTTTCAACTCAACAGCCTGTGCCCACCTTGTACCCCAGCCCTCCCCTGCTTCCCACGTGCGTGCCCCATGCTGGGTCTCGTGCAGGTGCAGCAGCTTGGCATCGGGGGTTGAGCTGTGGAGGGACACTTGGGCCTCCTGCATTCGCTGTGCTCTGGAATCACTGCCCAGGGTGGGTGAGAAGCAGGTGATGCGATGGTCAGGTACAGAGCGTGGGCAGAGCAGTTAGGGAGGGACCAGGGCCCTGAGCCTCCAGAAGAGCACGTGTGTACTCGCGTGGCTGGAACCGTTCCCTAAAGTGGCCACAGAAAGGATCTGGCCTGCCAGAGGCCTGGAGCCAGGCCTGTCCCTGCTGCACTGTGCCTGGAGGCGTAGAGCGGGGTGGGGCTGCTGCAGGCACCCTGCCCTGGTCATGCTGTGCTGCAGCCGGCCTGGGCCAGACCCGGGCCCTCCCAGCCTGCACCTCTGCAGGAATGCCCAAGAATTTGTTCCAGCTGGAGTGCTTCCCTGGGTCTTGTGGAATGCTTAAGGAGGCACCCGCTTGGAGAATCTTAGGAAATGAATTTGGTAGAAAGAAAGGAAAGGTGGATTTTGTATGAATAGTGCTCGGATAAAATGCATGGAGCTAAGTAGTCCAACACCAGGTTAGGGGCCCTTAGTGGCCCATGAGTCAGATGAGGGGGCCTGTGCGTGCCTGTTTGGGGGGCTCTCCACCCTCGGGTTCTTAGTGAGTAAAAGCCGCAGTACTGGAATTCCAAACTGACACGGCTCTGCCCAATTTCTGTCTCAGAAGTCAGGCTTGTCAGTAAGACCACACTGAGGCCAAAAGGTCAGTAAATTGTTTCAGCTGCTTTCCACAGAAAATGTCCTATATACTTCCCAACAAGCAAAGTTATTGTGAGACCTAAGGCTCAGCCTGCTTTGTCAAATAATAAAAATATCCTTGGACACAAAATTTTAGGCAGTTATTTATTAATGGAAGTAATAAATTTGAAAGATAACCATTTGTCATGTATGAGTCCCTGTTACATTTTGTAAATGCAAGATAAAAGTCCTAGATATGCCACACCAAAAACATGTATGCACAGCTGGCCTCGGCATGTCTGCCAAGCAGTGTCCATGTTCATTAACCCAGTGCTGGGAGTGCAGACAAATCCATTCAAGCACCCGGAGCAGGAACCCAGGACACTGTGTAAACAGTGAATGGCAGCATCGACGTGGGAAGCCGATTTGATTCCCTAGGTCTCCCTGGCCCTGCAGGGACATTGCTCAGCATTAACGTAGTTTGAGCAAGAAGGCATTTAGTGACATCAGTTGCCTGGTTCGGGAACCTTCCCAACTGCACATGGCACTTGGAGTCCACTCACACTCCAAGCCCAGGTGATGTTTCCATCTTGATAATGTACATTTGGACAGACTTGGCTCCTGTTGTTTCTGACCATTTTTGGAAGAAGTAGAGCTTAATAGTGAGATCACCCAAATGCTCCCCAAGCCAGGGGAGGCCCAGGAAAGAGCCCCACAGGGTGGCCCTGTTTGGGGCTCCAGAGCAGTGGGCTGGGTGGGCAGCTGGCGAGGAAGGGGGCCCAGATCAGAGTGCAGTGCAGAACAGATCAGAGCAGAGGCTGCATCTGCTGGTGACCATTCCACAGGGACGGGCTCCCAGCCAAGACCAGCACCCTAAGCCCCATGGGGACAGGTGCCCCCAGGACAGGCACTGCTCTCCTCCTGGGCTGTGCCCCCAGCAGTGGCGACAACTTAGTTGTTGACTTACACGCCTGAGTCTGATCACCGCCTGCAAGGCCCTTGGGGTGAACAGAGGAAGGGAAGTTAGGTAAATGGCAGGTAAGCTTGAGGAATCACAGCACTAATACTTCCATATCAGCACTATGAGAGCAAGAAAGAGACAAGCCGAGAGCGTTGGTTTAGATTTTTTTCCCAGGTCCTTACCTATTTTACAAATTAAGATCCAGCGCTTTGTCCAACTAAGTGAAAATTCCCATAGGTGTGGTTAACTTGGGGGAGAGGAACATGGTTTTTCTATCAGTGGTTTTCACAACAGTAGAATTCATTATTAAAACATTATGCATAACCACTAACCAGCCTCAATTTTTGAAAAATCTAATACACCTTTCTGGAAAGTTGTGGTAATGGAAACATTTACATGCAGTCGGGTGCCTTATTCAAAGTTCTCAATTGTTTGCAATCCTTTCTTCCTACAACTCTTGGTTTTCTAAATCTGAATGGACACTTGGCATCCACCCTAAATCTTACGTTTCAGAACCAAAGCCCTTCCTTTTGTGACAAAGCCCCGTGGCCTTTCCTCCTCTAAAGCAGGAGGGTGTCACCCCTGGCTTGCGCCAGCCCCACCGTCTGCCCCGAGGGATGCCCGGAGCGCGGGCCGCCTCCCCCGCCTCTCCTGTTCTCTGAGTTGGCCCGTCTGTGCCTGAAAGCAAAAGGAAGAAGCAGACCAGACCCTCGAGGGCCCCTGAGTGCCAGCAAGGAGGGGCAGCCCCCCGACTCCCAGACCAGGCCTCTGTCACATCTGCAGTGTCACCTCAACTGCCACACAGCTGAGATACCAACTTTTTAAAAAGTTAGATCTTTGCTGGAACATCACCTTCTAAAAATGCATCTGAGTGCATCTCAGCAAGTGTCCGACCTCTGTCGGGGTGGGGGTCCTCTGGCCAAGCGTGCAGGGAAGGGGCCACAGGTACCAGCCAGCCCATGCAGGCGGCGCCACGCGGAGGAGGCGTGGCGCCAGCGTGGGTGTCGGGAGCACCTCCGCTATGGCTCGGCTGCGCTGGCAGCTGCCTCTAGGTCTCAGCGTGCCCTCGGGGGCCCTCCCTGGCTACCAGGCTTCCAGATCTTGCCAGACTCCGCAATTCTGTGATAATGGGGTTAACCTAAAAGGCCTTCCTTGGTGGTGGCTGCGGGGACTGAGCAGAACCACGTGGGCACATGGGATCTGAGCACATGGGATTGCACAGTGTGCAGCCGACACTCAGCATGGCTAGCGGCCCCAGTGACTCAGCCCCTCCGTTCCGTCAGGGAGTGTTTGGGGCCTAGCTGCTCCATCGGACCTAAGCAGGAGGTCAGATTGGACGATGGTGGGCAGCTTTAACCAGCCCACTAGCCTGGCGTCTGTGGCAGCCAAGGGCCCTGCAGAACCCCAGTTCCTGGGGCAGACATGGGGCAGATCTCTGCAGCATGGCCCCCTGTACTCAGAGGTGGGAAGCCACTCGTGGCTTCCAGTCCTCATCCAGCCCCCTGATTTTACAAACAGTGTGCAAATCAGTGCCCACGTGCTGGTGGGCACACAGGTCTCTGCGGTTCCGAGGACCCAGTGTGGACGAGGCCTGAGCCAGCTTGACATGCGGCTCCTCTCCCCCTTCTCCAAGGCCCTGAGCTCCTGCCCGCACGGCCCCGCTGTCCTGGCCGCAGAGTGCCTGATGGCCTTGGTGGCCCTGCAGACCGCCGTTCTGCAGAAGCCGCATCTCAGCCACCCAGGCCGCCCCCTGGCCCGGTGCTGGCCCTCTACCCATCCCTGCCCCTTGCTCTCTCTTCACTTGGTGGTCTTTAGGCAGAAAAGGGCTCTCCGGGCGGTCCTGGCCCCACCGTCGCTGAGTCAGCTCTGGGGAATCTCCACCTCCTCAGACCTGCCTCCAAGTTCTTTCCACCCAAAGGGAGCAAAGGCCAGGCCAGGGAAGCTGTGGCCTCGGGGCCCCACTGCAGTAACCGGCGCGTCTCTTTCTCTCTCCGCAGGACTATTTTTACCCTCGATACTTAGGTAAGTCTAAGTAAGGCACTGCTTCCCTGGCTGGTGAAGTGTCAGGCGCCACAGGAGCAGGCGGCCAGCATTCCCTCGCACGCCGCTCCTGGAGGAAGGCCGCGGGCCACACGCGTACGGTCTCTCCAGAGCCGCAGGTCAAGCACTCGTTCGTGACTTTTACGCTGTGACGGCCGTGGAGACCTTGGTCGGAGCCATTTGCAAACCCCTTCTCTGCTCTGATTCCAGGCTGAGCACATTATCTGGAAATGTCTCAAACTCTGGTCTTGGGATCCTGCACGTCTGAAATTAAGGACCCAAAGAGCTGTGTTTATTGAGTTTACCATGATACTAATTAAAACTGAGAGCATTAAAAATGTTTTTGTTTAATCTGAATGACAGGAATGTGCAAAGACTCCCTGGCCAAGGAGCAGAGCTGTCACTGGTGTGGGCCCCTCGGGGACTGGCCTGGCTGTGCTGGTCTCCTGGCAGGCACCCATTGCAGGGAAAGACAGAGGGCTCAGCACCCACTTGGCCCCGGGGTACACGTGCCCAGCAGCTGAGACCCCGCCAGCTCCCAAGGAGAGCGTCCAACGTGCAGGACAGCTTGGAGGGCTTTCTTCAAAACAGACCGACTTTCAGATTAAGTGCAGGGTTTCCAGAGGAGACCAGCTCTGCTCCAGCCATGGTCAGACAGCCTCCTGAACGTTATCAGCGGCAGAGCAAGTCCCCAGCCAGGCCACGGCAATGTGCTGTGACACCCTCTGGATGCACAGCTCTGCCATTTTCTGAAGGCATTTTCCTGTATGTCAGTGTTAAAATGATCTCTATTCTCAAAAGCTCAGATACGTTATTGTTGGGGGATGGTGGCATCGTAGTAAATAGGCTGCTTTCCCATGAGTGTCTGAGAGACCAGTCCTAGTGCTAAGTTCTGTTCCAGCTCCTGGGTCTGAAGGTAACGCTGTCTGTTTCTCTCTTGCAGAGTGCATGAGTAAATATGGTTCTCCGTACACAAAAAACCCCGCTTTCGTTACATGCGTTCAAAGTAAGTGTCTCCTCCCTGTCTTCTCCAAGCCCTCTGAGTTTGGGTGACTTCAGACTTGTCTTGAGTATTTCCATTGTCTTCAGGAGCCACGGCACCTGCTGAGACCTGCCCCCCTCCAATGAAATTTCTTTATTAAGCAAGGAAGGTTGAGTTTTTCCAATAGGAGAGAAATTCACGTGGTATGAAATTTTAACCTTTGCAGGGGTGCAGAGAAAGCAGGTCCCTGCCCTGACTCCCAGTCAGCCAGTTAAGTTCCCTTTCCCAGGAGTAAGATATTCTTGGACCTGTAAAGATATAATGCAGGCTACTGTGTCGTGGATACTTCCACACAGGGACGCACAGGAGAGAAGGTTGGCAGCATGATTCGTTTAATCAACGTGCATTGGCAGACTTCTAGGCTATTTCCAGTTTTTATTATTGCAAACCGAACCAGGCAGTATCTGTGCATCTGTGTGTCTCCTGCAGAATGAGCCTCTAGGAATGGGGCTGTGGGGCCACACGGGCACCACCTGTTCGACACAGGTCCGGCCGCAGCACCCCAGGAGGTGCCCCTGCCCTACGCCAGCCTAGTGGTCTTTCAGCTGTTCGGTCTTTTCCAATGTAAATGGTGAAAAGTGACACCCCATCATTTCAGTTCATGTTTTTCTTACTAATGATGAAGTTGAGCTCCATGTTTAAGAACCTTTGATTTCCTTTTGTGCACAATTTATTCATATTTGTCTATTTTTCTCAATTTGAAGGAACTGTTGATTAGATTTGCAAATTAGCCATTTGTTCTCAAGATAGAAAAATTGTGCCTCAGCTCATCATTCATCTTTTTTGTTGTTATTAATGTCATGTTTAGTGACCGTGTGGAAAAGCTGCCACTTCTGGTGTCCTGTTGCATGAGTTACCCACACACAGAGCAGCACAGCCCCGTAGCCGAGCCTGGCCCGGGGCCTGGTGCTGGTCTGAGACCTTCTCAGTGTGAGCTGCTGCCACCACAATACCAGTGTGGCCACTGCCCCTGAGGGCACCAGGCCCTGCGCACAGCCAGGGCACTCCCTGCACGCGGCCAGATCTGAGGGGTGGTAGGAAGGCAGGGAGGACCCAGAGCCAGCCGGGGCTCTGCTGCGTCACGGCTCGTGTGCATGCCAGCTGCAGGCCCATCCGACGCCCCGTCACGGACCCCAGACCCTGCCCAGATGCGCCGAGGACAGGGTCCGTTTAACACAGCGGTTCTGCTGTGACCAGCCTCCCCCCTGGCCCCTGGGCAGCCTCGCAGTAGTGGGTGCAGAGGAGCCGGTTAACTCAGAGCCAGAACCCAGGCCTACGCGTCAGGGCGGCCAGGAGCCAGCCTCGCCACCCCCAGGGGTCAGCCATGCCCCGCTGAGGCCGTGGGCCAGCAAGAGCATCCCAGCTTCGAGTCCTGGCTGTGTTTTAGCAGCTTTCTTGTTAACTTGCTGAACCAATTTCTTTTCTATGTATTCAAACTTATTACATCATTTTAGTTTTGGGTTCTTGAGTCTTCCTTTCCTGAGATTATAAAGGTCCCGTGTGTCCCGTAGTTAAGTGTGTGGTCTACACAGCGTCTCCCTGAGGCTGTGGTGGGGCGAGTCTGGAGCAAATGGTCATTGCTATGAGGGGAGGGGCTAGCTTTTTCCAACGCTTTATTTGAAATCACCAGGTTTGCTCAAAGAGGGCTTCAGAATCCTGGGCCCTTGGGTCCTGTGAGAGACGTCACGATGTCAGATGCCTTCAGTTGATAGCAGAGCTGCCCTGTCGATGGGACAAGGCTTTCTGTCCTTGTGCCGGGCACCCTGGGGGGTCAGGGTCCGGGGCCGTCCCTCAAGCTGGTGTCAGAGGGCAAACCTAGTGCTGTCACGCCAAATGCCTTACACACGGTTGCCAGGGTGCTAGGGGGCTGCCCTGTGCCCAGACTCTGCACCGCCAGGACACTCCCTGTGGACAGGCGTCCACCTGGGAACGTGACCTGGGCACTGTCTGCACCTCAGAGGCTGCCCGGGTGCAACCACATTCAGTAAGCAAGGCCCGAGGTGCTGCAGACACGCCGCTGTCCCGTGAGGGCTGCCGGGGCGATCGGCCGCCCACCCACTGTGCTGGAAGACATGCCCCCGGCCTCAGTGCCACCCCCACACGCTTCCAGGGCTCCTTTCTAGGAACAGGTTGCCGAACGTGTTGGCACCCACATGTTAAATTAAAACAGCACCCCCATCACCTCCCAGCTTGTCTTAGCCACATCCAGCCGGGTGAGCCGGCCGTGGCTCCAGCGCAGGATCTGGGCCGGGTTCCTCCACGTGGCCCAGGCTGTCTCCATGAGCCCCTGGCCCAGCCCCACCCCGGGAGAGGGTCCCTTCGCCCTCTGCTCGGGTCAGCAGGACAGCCCTGCACTGGGGGGCATCCGGGAGGCAGCTTGTTACTGCCTTTGCCCCTGTGCCCCGGGGGGAACAAGGAGAGGAAGGCAGCTGAGAAAGGCATCCTGCTGGCTGCCAACGGGAGCTTCACATCCCAGGACCACGGCCACCCAGGCCCAGATAAACCCCTTTGTTCCTGGGCAGCTGCGCCCCCCTGGAGCCCTGCCCTGGCACGCTCCGCCCCGAAGCTCTCCCTGGGCACAGTGTGGGGTGGTTAACTGGGTGCCCAGGGGTCTGAGAAGCTGGGTCTTTGTCAACGCTTTAAGATTCTGCACACTTCTGGGCACCTGCTGAGGGCCCGACAGATGTAGGCCTTTGTCCTCCTGTCCTACAGAGAAACTTCCCAGCAGGGTGGTAAAAGGAAGTGGTGGTGGGTGTGGCGTGGGACTCCCACGACAATCCCACCCTCAGAAGTTGTTGTCAGACCCTTGTCCTGGGACCCTGAGGGTTTTTTAAGAGGGTGTGGTCAGGCATTCTAGGCCAATTCCAGATGAAGTTGACCAGCCCTGTGTCAAATGTGCAGGCATGTGCTTCTGAAATGAGCTGTGGCAGAGCCTCACGCCGCATGCCCGCCTCCCACCGTGGGGTCCAGGCAGCAGGCCCCTGTCGTCTCTATTCCTGGAGCTGGGCTTGACCTCACCTCCCCGGCCCTTGGTCCCAGTGTCGCCCGCGGTACGGCTGTGCTGTGTGCCCAGAGATGGGGACGGCCCAGAGATGGGGACGGCCCAGTGGCCCCACGGCCGACCCGAACCCACTTGCCCGTGGCACCCTGCCAAAAACAGCTATGTGAGTGGCTCAGAAACACTTGGAGATGCTGTGCTCAGTTAACACAGCCAGCACACTGTGTGGCACAAGCAGGCTTTGAGCTGTGCCACAGAAAGGTCACAAGAGGAGCCACACAGATTCCCCAGGAAGGTGGGCGCTCCGTCAGGGGCCTGCTGCTGAGAGGGGCCCAGCCTGCGTGGGATGGCAGAGCGACCAGGCACCCTGGCATCTGGAGTCTGTGCCAGTGACGGGCTGACAGAGTCCCCGTGTGGGCAGGAGGAATGCTCGCCTGTGCTGCAGGGCAGGAAATGCTCTGCCGGAAATTCACTGCTGGTGACCACGGCGGGCCCTGGGGGGGAAGCCATGCCCAGCCTTGGCGTCAGGCTGGAAACCTCAGTCGTCCCAAGGGGAAGTGGGACGTCGGAGGTGAGTGCTGCTGACCCGCATGTCCTGCGCGTGTGATGTTGGAGGCCCCGTGGGCTTGGCGTGGGCCTGTCCCCGATTACCACAGTGACCGCAGTGGAGGGCACGGGTGACTCGGGCCTATATGGGACAAAGAGGCAAAGCTGGAGGACCTCCACGGCCTCGTTACCCCTAGTCAGACAGGCCTCTCCCTGGACACCTGCACCGTGCCTAAGGCGTCCTCTCTGTGGCTGCATGGCCCCTGGAAAGGATGCAACACGGTGTGAGATGACTGGGTGCCAGTGCGGCAGAGAACACGGCGTAGCTGTCTGAGCTGGCCCAGGGTGGCACGCCCCCATGTCAGGCTTGCCCCTTGCCTGGGCCCGGGGACCACAGCCTCTGGGCCACTGAGGAAAGGCACCCAGTTGCCCTCAACTGGAAATGACTTCAGAGAAGCAGGATTGGTGTCGGCCATCAGTGCCTCTAACGCCCACACCAGGGGGACAGCTGGACACACCAGCCCCAGGCCTTGGTTTGGCCCTTAGTTGGACCCCCTGTTGCTCAGGCCTGGATAAGGCAAGTGTCCACCTCAGAAGAAGGAGAACAGCAGAGAGTCACGGGGCGGCCATGAGTGTCTGCAGGCTCAAGACAGGAAGGCCATGGGCAGCATGCAACGACAATGGGATTCCTGCAGGGACCAGGGTAGACCTGCAGGCACTCGGGAGCAGGAAGCCAGGGGCGCCTGGACGGCCTGGTGGGTGTGCGGCTGGAGGCCGGCCTGGGCACTGTGCCTTGGTGGGCTGGCTGGGAGTGGCAGGAAGCCGCCCCCCTTGACAGGGAGCAGCTGTGAATGCAGCGTGGCTGGTCCTCTAAGAACAGGCCAATCCTTCACTCCCTGAGCCCTGCCAGCTCGGCTTCTCCAGTCTTCCCGGGATGCCCCAGTCTCCGTGCCCGCCTGCAGACACCAGCCCTCTGCAGCCCTGTGGCGTCCAGCCTCTCCACGGAGTGCTGACAACACCGCAGTGTTTCAGACGGAGTGTTTGCCCCACTGCCAGTGCCAGTGCCCTCGAGGGCTCCTGAGCTGGGGGACAGCAGGCCTTCTCTCAGTGGCCCAAACCCGGGGGTGCCCATGGCCAAGCGTCCCCGCAATGTGGACTCTGCCTGTGAGGAGCCGCTCCCCCCATCAGAGTCCTGGGGAGGCACCTGCTGAGGGTCTCCTAACCACGGGCCCCAAAGCCACCGGGAACTGTGACGGTCACACTGGGCCCAGGAGGGTGGCTCTTGGAGCAAGAGGGCAGAGCAGGCCTGGCCTGGCGTGGCCCTGAGAGGCTGGGGGTGCAGGGGTGGGCGGGAGGTTCCAGCATGGCCTGCAGAGGCTGGTTTCTGGGAAGAGGGGTTGTGTCCGGAGGCCCAGCCCTGTGGGGGGAACCGTGGAGGTCGGCAGACTGGGATCCGAGCGAACAGCGAGGGACCCAGGAGACAGACATGCCTGGCAGGGCAGGGACCGCCCCTCACCGCCTAGAAGCCCCGGGGCCAGCCAGGGGCCTCAGGAGCAGCTGTCTGGGAGGTCAGACTCAGGCTGGGCCCGGTGCTGCTGCCCCTGCCTCCCCCGGCCCCCCGCCCGAGGGCAGGCAGCTGTTTCCTCTGAGCTGCCTCAGTTTCCTGGGACCAGCCAGGCCCTGGCCAGCCCGTTCCATGACCCCGCTTCTGCCCGGAGATGGGGTCCTGTGTGGCCAGCCCCAGCCAGTGGAGGGGCTGCTGGCACCCAGACGTGCCTCAGCATGCAAACCCCAGGCCAGGGCTCCCGGGGCCGACGGGAGGCTGTGCCCCTGCCTGTGACCCTCCTTCCCTCTCCTTCCCTCCCTCTCAGAGCTGCCCGACCAGTGCTCTCCGAACCCCTGCAATAAGGAGGGGGCCCACGTCTGCCAAGACCTCATGGGCAACTTCTACTGCCAGTGCAAGGATGGCTGGGGTGGCCGGCTCTGCGACAGAGGTGAGGCCAGGTGGGCTGCAGAAGAGCAGCCATGGTCCCCTGGAGCAAAGGAAGGGCCCCCCAGGGTTGAGGGAGCCCCATGGGTGCCCCATGGGCCTCAGCACGTTGGATGAAAAGGGGAGCAGAGTCATATCACCTGCAGTTGTGGGGTGCCAGCAAAGAGGCTGCAGGAGAAGCCCCCAGGACCTGGTTAGCACCTTGGGCCCCTGGGGTCTCTTCTGGGGGCAGCTGGGCCGCACTGAGGCCCTGTCTGCCGGAGGCCTGTGCTCAGCTCTGCTCGTGTGTGGCTTGGCCAGGCTGTGTTCAGGCCCCGTGACGGCTCCGCCAAGTCTGTCCTCACCCACCTTCAGCCTCCACCCTCCTCTGCACACTTGGGTGCCCATGGAGCCCGCACCGTGGACCGTCACCACCCACGGCATGGCAGCTCGCCCCTGCCCACCCCACCCACGGTCTGGGGGTTAGGTGTACAGAGGCCGCCTCACTAAGGCAGGCCATGCGTCACTGCTGGGCTCCCCCCGGACCCTCTGTGCCCAGATGTCAACGAGTGCGGCCAGCAGAATGGTGGCTGCAACCAGATTTGCTACAACAAGCCGGGCAGCTTCCATTGTGCCTGCTACAGCGGCTACGTGCTCTCCCCCGACAGCAGGACCTGCCAAGGTAAGGCCTCCGGACCGCAGCTTCCCTGGGCCTCCCTGTCTCCCTGCCTGCCCTCTGCTCCCGCTTTTATTTTTATTTTTGCAATTGCCAAAGTCGGCCGACTGCCAAGGTTGGCAGTCGCGTTTGCTTTTCCGCAAGAGGTGCTGGCCAGGCCTGGTTTCCTGAGGTTCTGGAGCACAGGGTGGGGAGTCCTGCAGGGAACACATGCCCGGGCATGTCAGTGGCCATGGAGCGCTGCCCAGGACAGAGAGACAGGATGATTCACCAGGATCTGGGGGTGAGACCAGCCCAGCAGAGGAGACCCACTCACTGCCCCGGGATGGGAGGTGGCTGCTGGGCCTGCTTCCAGCGCCCTGGAGCCTGCAGACATTTCCGTGCACCTCGGAGCCCAGGACGTCTCTGGGGGCCGTGGGCAGGGAGGAAAGGGCAGAGGCCCCAGTCCCAGAGACCTCGCCTGTCCACACCCACAGTGTCTTCCACCAGCCTCCCTCTCCACCTCCCACCACCACACGGTTGCTGGCCTCCCTCTGGGAAAGGCCTGCTCATGGACAAGAGCCGAACGCAGCTCAGCCCCGCCCCCTCCTGCTTCCAGACAGTCCGTTCCAGGGCTCTGGGCAGCTGGGGTTCCTGAGCACCCCAGAAGGCCCCACATACCCTGGCCGCCTTCTATCTGGCCAAAGTGCCTCACTTTGCAGGGCAGCTGTCCTCCCCCTGCCCACTGGCGTCTGAGTGCCGTGGGCAGCTTGCCAGGGAAGTGGGGCAGATGCTGCTGAGGGGGAAGCAGCGTGGAGGGGCCTTCCCCGCTTGGGAGGTCAGCCTTGTTTGTCCACGACCGTGGCTCGTGCCCTGACGCTGCATCCGGTGGGCAGAGCGACCTTTCCTTCCTGCTGCCTGCTTGACCTGGCCTCTCTCAGGGCTGCTGCAAGGTGCCGTCCAGACCCAGCTGTGTTGTGGCCTGAGGAGGCACTTCGGCCTGCTGGCAGTGTCCTCGTTTCGGGGAGCCAAGCATGCCCCTTTGTCTGGTGGAAGTATTTAACACAGCACCCAGGGACTCGCTGTTACCTGAGAACACCCCTGCTGTCCTCTGCAGACCAGGGCTGACTGGGGACTTGTATCCGGCGCCCCTGCAGTCGCTGGAGGGGGATCCTCGGGGATCCCAAGCCCACTGTCAGGTTCTGCGTGTCCGAGTGCCTCCAGGCAGGGCTGCTGTGCTGTGAGGGGAAGCGCTGCTCTGACCTCCTTGGGAGACCCCAAGGGACTGGATCGTAGGCTACCCTCAACCCTCCCCCAAGTCTGAGAAGTGCGGGGGGACTCCAGGAGTCTAAGAGGGCCCTGGCATCTAGCTGCCTTTTCCCCCAGAATGGCGCACAGGACAGCAAGTCGGGTCTGCACCCGCCTGGGCCAGCGGGCTGCAAGGCACTCATGAGCGTGACTGATGAATAATTAGCATGACAGCAGGAATCCACCCTCGATGCTGGGTTTTGGGGTGTACTTGCAGGTGCCGGCCCCCATGTGCCTGTCTCCTGGCCACCACCACTCCCTTGGGACCTTAGAACCCTAGGCAGGGGGCTGCAGGCAGCAAGGACGCTGTCACTGTGGTAGGAAGAGGCTGTGCTTCCATCATGTCCTGTTGTCAGGCCTGGAGATGCTGGGGAGTCGCTGCACATGCCTCTAGGGTCTCCCGGGCAGCTTGGGGAAAGGGTACTGGGTGGGAGGGTGGGTGCAGGCCTGTCTCTCTACTGGGTGCAGGAAGGGGGGACGGGCTGCCGAAGGCTGGGGGTGCAGGAGGGTGGGCTGGGCCAGCCCCTCTCCTGGGGAAGTAGTAGTGAGAGGCTGGCACCTGTTTGAGGACCCGCTGGCCTCTGCCAGGCGACACAGTGGGGCCAGGCCTGGGCTTTCTGTGTCTGCTGCCAGCACCACCACCTCCCATGTCCAGCCCTCCTGGGTCATCATGCTCTATGGTTAATGGGGAGATGGCGGTGTCTTTGATGGGTAAAGTATCAGGACGTTGAGGATTAGGAAAGGGCATGGAGAAGACCAGGATCTTGGGGACCCCATGGAGGAGTTAGAGTCCTGCGGCCCCCGCCCCCCGAGTTCAGGAGTCTGTGACCACACAGGCCCAGTGCAGAAGGAAGCCGTGGCACAGGGCCGCAGGGGTGGCCTGATGTGGGGTCCCCACTGTTTCCCTGAGGTGGGTGGGGCCAGCCTGGCTTGGCTGGGGTACAGCAGGGACAGTTCTGAAAGAGCCAAAGGCCCCAGGCCCGGGCCCCTCTCTGGTGCTGCTGGGCGGCCTGGTTCCCCAGTGTGTTCGGCTCTGCATCTGGGACTGGTGAGAGACGGTCCTGGGCCTCCCAGCCACCCTCGGGAAGTCTGGAGTCATCCGCCCACCAGGCCTACAGGCCCTGAGGGGCTCCAGACCCCATCCAGGGCATCATGGAGTGGCTGGCGGGCCAGCCGTGCCTGCTCTGCCCCCAGTGCCCAGCCGGTCACCTGCCCAGATCATAAGCCTCGTGGAGCCAGTGAAGGCTGGCAAGTCTGCTGGGTAGCCCCAGAGCTTTTCCTGCCATTGTGGAGGGTCTTATCAGCTCTGGTCAGAGGGCTAGTGCTGGCAAAGCTCCTTCATGCAGGGACCCCACCCGACCCTCTAGGCAGCACGTGGTCCCTGCTCCCGGGCGCTCTGCCTATGGTCCCCCCACTTCCCCCAGCTCTGCTGCCTGTGCTGAGGGGACGAGGTTTCTCAGATGCAGAGGTGGGGCTGGCCCAGCTGGCTTCCGAGGCGAGGCGTGGGGTCAGGAGCATCACCAGCGATCGTCCTGACACAGGGAGCCCCCCGGGGAAGGTGCGCTGCAACGTGCTAGGCCTTCGCCGTGCAGGCGTGTCGCCCTGAGGAACCCGGGCTGTTTGAAGCAGCAGTCGCACTGTCAAGATGCCCCTTCTGACCCTGTAGGAAATGGGTTTCTAACTGGGATTTTTCTACTTTGCCGAAGTGGAGAATGGGCAGCCGAGCTGGGAGAGAGCCTTGGCGACACCATTACTGTGGTGCGTGGTTTCCAGTGGACAGACAGCGTAGGTGGAGTGAAGTTTGCCGCTAAAGGCAAGAGCCGAGTCCAGGGGCCAGAAAGGTCAGCACAGGGTTCCCAACGCAGGAGGCTCCAGGTAGAGAGGCCCCCGGTGACTTTCTGTCTCCAGTTGTTTAAACTGAGCAACAACTGTGTGCACACCCCTGACCAGGCAGTGCCCCGTCCAGCACCTGAACCCAGCTCCTCAGCTGGGGCTCTGACCAGAAATGCCCCCACAACCTCTGCTCATAGGCCTCAAGCTGCGAAGGCCAGTGGATGGTAGGGAGGGGAGGGGAAGGCAGTGGGGAGGGAGGGCAGAGGGGGAGGGGAGGGAGGCTGTGGGGAGGGTGGCCCCGGGGGAGGGCGGGGAAGCCCTGGCTGGAGGTGCCCAGCACCCTGCCTGCCCCAGGCTCTCCCTGAAGAACCGGATGCCTCAGGCCTGCGCTCAGCTTGGTGGCTGGGGAGGCCCCTGGTTTCCCGGTCACTGGGTTCCGGCCGCCACATCCTCTGTCAGCACAGGGATGGCGTGGTCCTTTGCTGGCCCCCTTGCAGACATCGACGAGTGTGCGGACACGGGCGCCTGCGGGGAAGCACGCTGCCGGAACCTGCCTGGCTCCTACTCCTGCCTCTGCGACGCGGGCTACACCTTCAGTCCCCGGGAGAGGGCCTGCCAAGGTACCTCCCAGCCCTGCAGAGTCACACGCTTGGGCCGTGCACCACGCACATGGGGACGTGCGCTCAAGCGTGCGCCCGCACACACACGCACATGCCACCACACATGTGCACACACGTAGCTTTTGGTGCCGGGCCCCTCCTCCAAACTGCCACAGGTGGTGGGGAAAGGGTCACAGGAGATGCACCACGCTCCTGGGCAGGCAGGCTTCTCTCTGACCCTTGGTTCGGCCCACTCTGCAGGGACATGCCCGCGACAGCTCGCAGGCCGACTCCTGCTGTGTCCTGGGGGCACAGAGAGATGCACTCCACCAGCCTTCCACTGGTCGCCCCTCCAGAGCAGGACAGGGTGGTCCCAGCCCCCGCACCCTGCTGGTCTGCCCTCCAGGGCCACCCCCGGGCCCCTCAGGCAGCCGCAGGGACACCCACTGGTGGCCCAGCCTGGGCACCATCACATTGTTGGCTGACCTGGCCACATGCAGGGCCTCACTTTTCAGCACCCTGGGCCCTGCTGCTAACACCTCCCCTGGAACAGCAGAGGCGTCCAGGCCTGTGGAGCAGGGCTGGGGTGGGGGTGCCTCCTGAGTCACACACTAGGGGTCTGTGTCCACAGCCAACGCCCCACACGTGTGATCAGAGAGAGGGTGTGGTGGCAGAATGAGCTTTTACCCCTCCCCTGTGGCCAGCAGATGTGGACGAGTGTGCTGAGAGCCGCTGCGAGCAGGCCTGCGTCAACTCCCCGGGGAGCTACAGCTGCCACTGCAATGGCCGTGGGGGCCTCAAGCTGTCCCAGGACATGAACACCTGCGAGGTAGGACCCCACCCATGCCAGATGCCCGGCCCATGGACATGCCACTGTGCACTGCGCAGTTATGGGCGAGGGGGAGGTTTACCCAGGTCAGCGCTCCCACAGAAAGTCCTCAAGCGTGCGCCCGCACACACACGCACATGCCACCACACATGTGCACACACGTAGCTCTTGGTGCTGGAGAGGCGCGTGGCTGAGTGGCCAGGGAAGGGGCAGGTCACCCTCCACGACGCTCTAGGTAGCGCAGGGCCAGCATGTGAACACGTGCAGTTCCCATCCCCACCTGCTCAGGCTCTGTGATGCGGGTGCCCGCAGAGCCTCCTGACCGTGGCCCAGCCCACCCCTCAGCACAGTGGAGAAGCTGCATCATAGAGCAGAGAACATTCTAGAAACAAGTCTTCAGGGCCTCCGTGGTTTACCTATGTTACAATGTTTTACCATTTTTTTTAATGTTTTTACTATATCATTATATATTTATTCTTACAGTATTTTATCCTGTGTTGGGAACATTTCATAGCTTAATAATAGCAAGATGGCCATTGGCAGGGCAGGCGGGCAGCAGACACAGGGCAGCGTGGGGACAGGAGCCCCAGGCCCCTGCAGGGACCCGTGAGCCCTGCCCTGAGGCCCCAGGTGGTGGACCAGGTTGTAGTGGCGCCTCGGGTTTCACCAAGAACACAGCCCAGGTCCGTGCTGGAGCCCCTGGGTGGCCGCTGGGCAGCTGAGGGAGAGCTCGCCCAGCGTCCAGATGGGGCCTGTGTGACCAGGAGTGGCTGAGCTGCACCGCCTGATGCCCCTCGCTCCCGTTTGGACAGGACATTCTGCCCTGTGTGCCCTTCAATGTGGCCAAAAGCGTGAAGTCCTTATACCTGGGCCGCATGTTCAGCGGGACACCTGTGATCAGACTGCGCTTCAAAAGGCTGCAGCCCACCAGGTGAGGGGGCAGCTCATGCATGGCACAGCCACGAGCCGCGCAGAGCCCGGGCAGGCCGTCCTCGCCGCTGGCTCTTGGCACAGCTGCAGCACAGCACAGCGCGGGTCTCTGCTCCGTGCCGGCAGCTTGCCTCCAGACTGCTTCTGGTGCTGGGGAGGATTCTGGGGTGCAGAGTGGGGGCCCTGGCCTGCCACCTGCCGCTGCTCCTAATGCCGTTGAGCTCCCACCGGGAAGGAGGCCCCGAGCTGTGAACGACCATTTGTTTCTCCTGCCGGGACCCAGGCTAGTGGCTGAGTTCGACTTCAGGACCTTTGACCCCGAAGGCGTCCTCTTCTTTGCTGGAGGCCCTCAAAACGGCACCTGGATTGTCCTGGGCCTGCGGGCCGGCCGGCTGGAGCTACAGCTCCGCTACCGTGGCATTGGCCGCGTCACCAGCAGTGGGCCCGTCGTCAGCCACGGCATGTGGCAGACGGTGAGTGTGGTGGGCACAGGGCCCTGGCATCCATCAGCTCACACGCTCACCTGCTGTACGGGTGGCGGGCGAGGACAGGCCCTGCCTGGGAGGTCTGCACTCTGACGGGGCGTTTTCTCACCACAGAGTCAGTGTGGCTCCTGCCCGAGTGGGGGTTCTCAGTGGGCGACTCCACCAGGGGACACCTGGCTGTGTCTGGAGACAGTCCCTTTTGTCACGGCTGGGGGTGGGGGCTCCTGGCAGCTGGGTGAGGCCAGGGGCTGCCGGACGCCCTGCAGCACACAGGTGCCCACCTCAGAACTGTCTAGGGCAGACTGTCAGCAGCGTGGGGGCTGAGACCCCTGGACTGGGTCTGGGCGCCTGCCTGGTGTCTGGGCCCAGGAGCTCAGCTTTCAGCATAGGGCAGGTCAGCTGGGATGCTGGCACCACCCTGGGACCTGGCCTCTGGGGCCTGCCCGGCCCTGCTGGACTGCCCACTCACATCAGTGCATCTTGGTGGCGTGAGCTGACCACACGCCTGAACCAGCTGGTGCCAGTTAGACCTGCAGCTGGGGCGGCCGGCTTTGAGGGTCCTGCCCTGCATTCCAGGGCCTGGAGCACTGTAGTCTGGGACACACACCTCCTTCCAGACCCTCGGAGGTCCCAGCGGGAAGTGGCTTTTAGATGTAAACACTAGAAAGAAAAATGGCAAAAGCATCCTTTTGCTTTAGAAATGAAGATAAAATGGAAAATTTCACCTTGGGCTGTGTGAATAAAAACATTCCAGACAGCTACAGACCAATATCCCTGATGAACATCGAGGCAAAAATACTCAACAAAATATTAGCAAACTGAATTAAAAAATACATCAAGAGGATCACACACCATGATCAACTGGGATTCATCCCAGGGATGCAAGGATGGTACAACACTCAAAAATCCATCAACATCATCCACCACTTCAACAAAAAGGACAAAAACCACATCACATGATCATCTCCATAGATGCTGAAAAAGCATTCAACAAAATTCAACATTCATTCATGATAAAAACTCTCAACAAAATGGGCATAGAGGCAAGTACCTCAATATAATAAAGGCCACATACAACGAACCCACAGCCAACATCATACCTAACAGCGAGAAGCTGAAAGCTTTTCTTCTAAGATCAGGAATAAGACAAGGATGCTCACTCTCTCTGCTTTTATTCAACATAGTACTGGAGTTCCTAGCCACGGCAATCAGACAGCGCAAATAAATAAAGTCATCCAGATTGGCTATTGTAAAAAAAACAAACAAACATTACAGTCAGTACTTCCATCCTGCAGCTCATTCTTCCAGACTGTTAGGTGAGCCCCTGAGCGACAGTGTTGCCATCGGCAAGCTGCTGACGGACGCTTAGCCTCGGGGAAGTGGCCTGTGGGCTGAGAAGCAGGCCTCCGCATGTGGAAGCTGGCCCTGGGGCTTGAGGGGCCTGGGTGGGGTGGGTGCCCCTGGTGGGAGGGGGGAGAAGCATGGCCAGGGGCATAGCTGGCCCCACCCCGGACCAGCCGGTCGTCCAGGAGCAGGGCCGGCTCAGAGGTGATGCCCGCCTGCCTTGCTGACCAGAGCCGGCCCCCAGCAGCACCTTGCGCCTTACTTTTCCGCTCAGACTCAGCCAAGCACCTGCCTGTCCCTCCACCTTAGCAGAAAGGACTGGTGGACTTTGGGAGGCTCAGGAAGGCGCATGGTGCACAGAGTGGTCAGTTGTTTTCCCACATGGAGAGGTTTAGGTGAATTTATGTGTTAGTTAGAGGGGCGGAAGCGAGGGACCAGAGTGGGGGTGTGGCTGAGGGGCCGCTGGCGCCAGGGGCCATCTGCTCTCTGGGGCAGCTCCTGGCTGTGGCTTAAGGAGGGCCCAGGAACTCAGGATGAGAAAGGTGGCCCGGGGTTCGCCTGAAGGATGACAAGCAGGGGGAGGAGGCCAGCGCTGGGGGGGGCTGCAGCCTTACCCGAGGCCGCAGGGAGGTCGTGTGGAGTGCACGGGCTATGCCGGGGTCAGTGCCTCCGGCAGAAGGGTCAGTCCCCTCCCAGAACTCCTTCTCCGCAGATCTCTGTTGAGGAGCTGGAGCGGAACCTGGTGATCAAGGTCAACAAGGACGCTGTGATGAAGATCGCAGTGGCCGGGGACCTCTTCCAGCTGGACAGGGGGCTGTACCATCTGACCCTCACTGTCGGGGGCCTTCCCTTCAAGGAGACCGACCTGGTCCAGCCTGTAAGCAAGTCACCGTCTGGGGTCAGGGCCCGGGGCCCCTGTGCGGGCAGTCTGGAGCTGCGATGCCCGTGTTTAGCGCTGACAAGGTCAGCAGAGGCGCCTGATCCCATTATTTGTTTTCATGAGACATTTGAGTTCTCAGCTGAACTGATAATAAATTGTTTATCTTGCAGAGGAGATAAAAACACAATGAAATAATTCTTTAACAAAAAGAACAACCACTTTTTTGGACCATTCCCAAGAACATTTGGGTTGCTGACCCTGTTAGGATTTCCACAGGGAGAGATCTGGGGAGGTCACTGCTGATCGTTTTTCAAAGTCCTGCCACTTGTCACCTCCCCTCACATGTCCCCCGTCGGTGTTCTCCGACCCCCACATGCTGATGTCGGTCGCCAGAATCTCAGCTTTGTGATCATAACTTCCACGCCAAGCACAGAAGTGAGTCATGACCCTGTTGAGGTCCGAGGGGTGCGCTCTGTTAGCACCGTCTTCCCTCAGGGTCAGAGGGGACGTCCTGCACATGACCTTTAGCACCAGACCCCTTCTCAGGGCTCCTGCACTGTGCATGCCATTTACAGCCCTCATGCCGCCACACTTTATAGTGAGGGCGGAGGTGACCACACAGTGAGCAGGTTGAGTAACATTGCCAGCCCCTGGGCTCACTCCTGCACTGCACCCCCGGAGGGACCACCAGGCCGACTGCCAGCCAGGCCACCATACCACATGCCCTCTCAGAAGGCGGTCAGCCACCTGCCCTCTGCTTTCTGTGGGCTGGTACAGACAAAGGGATCCCACAGTGAGTCATTTGTCAAGCATGCAGCCATTTTGTGGAATAAACCTGCAGATGATGTTTGTCTGCTCAGCAGCGGATTTCCACATCCTGTGCCAAGGGGCCTGCCCGCGGCCAGGGTGGCATCAGCCACATGGCCTCCGCTGTGGCTCCCAGGAAGCCACTGGGATTTCTCTGTCTTTCCAGATAAACCCGCGCCTGGATGGCTGTATGAGGAGCTGGAACTGGTTGAACGGAGAAGACACCACCATCCAAGAAACAGTCAAGGCGAACACAAGGATGCAGTGCTTCTCCGCAGCCGAGAAAGGCTCCTTCTACCCCGGGACTGGGGCTGCCTTCTACCGCCTGCAGTACGGTGGGTCCTGGCTCCCGTGGGCGTGGCTGCGACGGCACTTTCAGCCAGCATTCACTAAAAAACGGACAAGCTAAGAAACCCTTCCTCCCCAGGTCAATAGTGCCCAGGACAGGCTAAGCCCACATCAGGCTCTGGGCCAGTGCAGCTCAGGGAACAGGCCCGGCTCTCAGGGGCCTCAACTCTGAGAGAGCAGGGGTGTAATGCCGCCATGGGGCACGGAGCTGACAGAGCAGGGGGGTAACCCTGCCGTGGGGCAGGGGGCTGATAGAGCAGGGGTGTAACCCCACCGTGGGGCAGGGAGCTGACAGAGCAGGGGGGTAACCCCGCCGTGGGGCAGGGGGCTGACGGAGCAGGGGTGTAACGCCGCCATGGGGCACGGAGCTGACAGAGCAGGGGGGTAACCCCGCCGTGGGGCAGGGGGCTGACGGAGCAGGGGTTGTAACCCCACCGTGGGGCAGGGGGCTGACGGAGCGGGGTTGTAACCCCACCGTGGGGCAGGGGGCTGACGGGGCAGGGGGGTAACCCTGCCATGGGGCAGGGGGCTGACGGAGCAGGGGTGTAACCCCACCGTGGGGCAGGGGGCTGACAGAGCAGGGGTGTAACCCTGCATGGCAGGGGAGTGGGGAGCTGGGATGTAACCCCACCACGGGGCACGGGTCGTGGGAAAGAAGGGTTGACTAGAGCGGGCATGGCGGGCAGAGCCCAGTGACCTGTCCAGACACACTGGCCTGTGCAAAGGCTTGTTGAGGGCTGGGCCTGAGGCTGGCTGGGTGTCACCGTCCACCCTGATGGCTGTCCAGGGAATGAGTGTAGCTGCAGGAGGCAGAGGGTTCGCCCAAAGCCCTCCTGGCTTGTGTAATGCAGGGCCCTTGATTTGTTAACACAACGCTCTTTACTTTTATTATCAAATTTGTGACAATTCACTGTAAAAACAATCATAACATGCTGCTAAATGAGCATTTAAACGTAAATTTCCCAGGACATGAATTAACCTTCCAAGACACACACGTTACCAGATGCCCAGTGATAGAAATGTGCCCTGAGGATGTTGGATCGGTGAGGTGGCTAAGCAATTCCGTTGTCTGATTTTGGTTCTGGACTCGGGGTTTTCCTCCTGGAGCTCACCAGCTCGAGCCGTCGGTCACTGTTACATCTGGGCTCTAGGCTGAGCGGCTCTCGGGCTTGAGAGTCTCAGGAAAGCCACGTGTCCTGCCAGGAAAGGGCACATGCACACAGAGGGGCAAGCGGGCAGGCTCCCAGCCCCTGGGGACGTCCTTGGAGTCCCTGCCAGACCCTTGTCTGTCCAGCAGCTTCCCTGGGTGCCTCCTGGGTCTCTGTGGCTCCTGCAGGCACCCTGATCCAGGGGGTGCTCTGTGCTGACCTTGTACTTCATCTCCTGCCCAGGCTCCAGGGGCCGCTCCTAGCTGTGTCCCCGCTCTGCCCACATCCCCAGCTCATGAGAGTCCCACTAGGCCCCCTCAGTCCCTCTGTTCCTAAGCTCTGAGCCTGTCATGGGGAAACACCACCAGACCATCTTCCCAGCTGGCCAGCCCTGGAGGGCAGGCAGTACCCTCCCACCTGCAGACCTCACTGCCACGTGGTGCCGCCTGCACCCGGCGGGTCTCTGCTCAGCAGTCTCCCCTCCTGGGCAAGACTCACCCCCTATAGCGTGTGCTTAACTACCGAAAACATTGCGCGCCGTTATAGTGTTTCTGAGACAAGAATCACTCACTCTTTATACAACCATTAGTCCTTTAGCCTTCATTTTACACATACAGATCTGGGACATTATTATGGTATTTAAGGTAAGATCGGGTCATATAAACCACTTAATCCTCCTTGTAGTTAGTGTCATACGCATTTTTCCTGTTGTAACACGGACCTCACAGGTGCGTCCCAGTCGCTGCAAACACCCCGTTACTGCACACACCACAGGCTGCTTACCATTCTCACTGTGTGGTCTCTACTTGGAAGTTTGATGCCAGCAAAGGCATTTTTACAGACTTTATACCTCTGGCATCCATTCCGTAGCACAGAGGAGTCTCAAAGGAAAGTCCCGTGCGCTCAGCAGCAGAGCTCCAAGGGCGGGCTCACCAGGTAGGAGGTCAGAGCCCTAGGGAGGCAGCGTGTCGCTGCCCCTCTAGCCCCAAGTGGGCTCCTGAGGACGGCCAGGCGGCCTTGCTGCACTGCTAATGGCAGCGCATGTCCGGTCGATCCATCAGAGGAGCCGCTTCCCTCCCTGAAGGCAGTGGCCTTCCTGTTCTGAGTGCATTCAGTTCCCAGAGCCACTACTGAGAACTCAGGGACGGGGACCCACTCGTGGTACAAGGAGCCCACAGCCCAGTGGAGGAAGAGACGCAAGCACACCATTCACTCCTGACAACCGGCTGCTGCCTGCGGCGAGGGCATCCGAGCCCTAAAGTATGCAGACAGCACCCTGGTGTCACCCCACCCTCACTGTCTCCTCTGTACAGACTCTGGGTTCTTAGGGCATAGAAACACGGAAAACCAAGAGGGGCCGGTTTCTTCTGACTTCTCAACAGCAGGGGATTGAAATGGGGTCCAAATACAGGGTGGTGTTTGCTCAGAGGACCAAGATCCAGCCCTTTCTACCAGCGTGTGCTTGGGAACTGTTTGTGTAAGATAAATAGATGCTGAATACATATTTCATTGAGATGGATTTTATATATGACATACCCTTTATATATCATGTATTTATTGAACATGTTACATATAAAATGCATCTAAATGAAAAGCCATCCACTGAGGCTTTAGAATATAAAAATTGCAACTCGGAGTGCGCTCTGTTGGAAAAATGCCACGGCCCCTTCTATTTGCTCTGCATTTTAAACTCTTCAAAGTCCTTCCAACTGTCAGCTGCCCGAAGCCGCAGGTGCTGCCACATTCAGCAGGTGGACGTGCCTGGGTCCGTGTGGCCAGCTGGTCACCTGAGAGAGGCGGCCCCAGGGCCTTTGGGTGGAGGGCCAGAACCTGAACCAAGGGCCCAGGTCTGCCTCTCACTGCCCAGCTGCTGGCTGTTGGCTCAGCAGCGATGGATTCTTAAAAGCTGAGCCGTGAGTTACTGCAGCTTCCCACCTGCTGCCTGCAGCCAGGCCGCATCGCCACCAGCGGGGGCAGGCCCAGGAGCCAGTGGCTGCTGCCCACTCGGCCTTCCTCTGACTTGACAGCCTTGCAATGTGCCGCCTTCGTTGCAGCCCAGACCTCCTCGGATGCTGGGATGGGAGCAACCTGGGAAGTGGAGGTCGTGGCTCGGATCCGCCCCGCCACTGACACCGGGGTGCTGCTTGCACTTGTGGGCGACGACCACACTGTGCTGCTGTCCGTGGCCCTGGTGGACTACCACTCCACCAAGAAGCTTAAAAAGCAGGTACCATGTGCTGCCCCGCCCAACCCAGAGCTGCCTCCCCAGCACCCCACAGAGGCTGCCACCCTTGGGCCCCACACGCCATCCCCCGAGCCCCACCGGGCCACCCCCGCCCCCGGAAGTTCTGTCGTTGGCACGGCTCTCACCAGGGTCTCAGCAGCCACACTTGGCCCGGGGACGTGGTTGATGTGGAGTCACCCGGCACCACTGGGGGTCAAGCTGCTGTGCAGGGCTGCCAGGCCCGAGTCCAGGTGTGCAGCGGGGCTACCCTCCCAGGCCCTGCTGCAATGGGGACCAGCGGGGACAGGCTTGTGGCAGACCCCCTGCACAGGTCCACGCTGTCTGCGCTGCTTTCCCTCCAGCCTCCAGCATTTGGAATGAATTGCTGGGAGCCCCCTGGAAGCTGTGGTGACCGCTCCCCAGGGGGAGGAGACGGGAGAGGCAGGGCTGCGTGATGTGATGCCGGGGCGTGTTTCTGGCCCGTGTCATCAGCGGCGCCTCTGCCTTGCGGAGAGCATTCCAGGCTGCAGGGGTGGCTGCCCCTGAGATGCGTGTTTGCTGGGGCCCCATGCTTTGTGTTGGCGGCTCCCTGGGGGTTCACATGGAGGAATCTGTCACCGAGCACCAACATGCTAGTGGCTTTAGTCCACTCCTGCCCAGGCCCATGCGGGGCATCTGGATGGCTGGAATGTGTGGTCCCCCAACTCCCGGCCCAGGATGGCTTGCTTGTTTGCCCTCCATCTCCCTAGGCCAGCCCCCTGGCTTTACACATACAGAAACTGAGCCCGAGCCCAGCGTCCGCAAGACGCAGCTCCCAGGCCTCTGAGCCCTATCCCAGCCCAGGCCGCAGGAGACCCTGCCCCCCAGGAGGGCGAGGGCATAGGAGACCCTAGGCCAGGCAGGGCCCCCACCCCCACTCATGGCTGCCACCGCCCCCACACCTGCGTGCTCAGCATGCCCCCCCTGCAGCTGGTGGTCCTGGCCATGGGGAGCACCGTGCTGACCCTGATGGAGATCAAGGCCTGTGATGGCCAGGAGCACACAGTGGCCGTCGCCGTGAGGGAGGACGAGGCCACCCTGGCAGTCGACGGCACTCGGGGCCAGAGCGAAGTGAGCCCTGTGGGGCTGCGAGAGAGGCTGGCTGAGCTCGGGGGACACCTGCAGGGCTCTGTGCTCACCTTCGTCGGGGGGCTGCCAGGTAGGCCGCGCGTGGGCTGCCGTGCGGGGGTCCCCCAGCCCGCTTACCACACACGGAGCCTGGGCACCTCTACGGAAATGCACCTTTGCTGGGAAGAAGAGTGCAGGTGGCTTTACGGCCAGTGCCTCTGTGCCCTCAAGTTCAAGTTTATCAGGCCAGGCGGTGGCCCACAGGTGGGGGCTGACAGCACGCATTCTGGGGTGAGGGTGGCCTCAGCCCGTCTCCCCATGTCCTCCAAGGGCACCTGCCCAGGCGTGCCTCTCACTGCAGCTCCAGCCTGGGCCCCCCTCCACCCCCGTGCCCCCGCTGCCTCACCCCCACTCCTGGTGTCTGGCCACTGCAGCAGCAGCAGACGGCCACTGCATGCCACCTCCCATGGATGGGGCGAGTCCTGGTCGGGTGGACAGTGAGCTTGCTTGTGACCATGGGCTGGGTGACCCTGTGGGCCCCTGGCCACAGCCACTGACCAGTGCAGGACCTCACAGGCCGCAGACAGTCTTGGCTTCCAGATGAGAATGCCATTTAGTCTCAATAAACAAAGCTTTGAAAAGGATGAGAGGGTGGGAGGCCCTGCGGTGTGAGTAACTCACTGGGGCCAAGAAGATACTTGTCTAATCTGTTTGGCTAGCTGTGTTGTTCTGGGGTGCAGGAATGGGGTTGGGGGTGTCCTGCCAGAGCCTGACTGAAGGCGGCTGGTGCTGGCCTGGGGCACGTCGCCGGCTGGGGTGGTGATGTTCTGGAAAGAAAGGAATCCGTGCCCCTCAGGAGATGGGCTGGGGACTGAGGCCCCATGGGTGTCCGCGAGTGCTGGGGCAGAGGCGGGGTGCGGCCGTGGCTGGCCCACTGAGACGGTCTGTTCCTGCCCCTCTGCCCAGATGTGCCACTGACCTCGGCCCCCGTCACAGCCTTCTACCGCGGCTGCATGTCGCTGGAGGTCAACAGGCAGGTGCTGGATGTGGACGAGGCCGCCTACAAGCACAGCGACATTACATCGCACTCCTGCCCCCCTGCCATGCAGGCTGCCCCCTAGGCTGGCCACGGGCACAGGTGCCACCAGGCGCCGCCCCCCCTTTCTCTCCAGAAAGAGGGAAGAAGGGAGGGCGTGAGTCACCCCAGCCCCGCACGAGCAGTCCCCGGAGCGGCACCCTCGCGAGCTGAGCTCTGAGACCGTTCTTCACCTTGTAAAATACGTGTACATAGCTGAGAGGACTGGTGTTAACAACCGAAACCATGTCCGCCCCCAGAGCGTCTGAGCGAAGCCAGGCTCCAAGGAGTCGACCTGAGCTTAGAGGCCGGCACGTGCCAGAGCGGACCCAGGAAAATAATTCTCTATTATTTTTATTACCAGATGTTTCTTTCTGACCTAAAAATATGGAAAAATAAAATATTTACAGAAACCTTTTTAACTCTGTTGGCAATCCTGGCTCTTGGCACCTTGCGCACCCTGTAGCTTGGGTCAGAGATCCGGGAGGCAGGACTGCAGCCATGGGTCTTGTGGGAGACCCCTGAGTCCAGACGTGCATGGCCTCTGCACCCCCCGCAATGCCCAGCTGAGTTTCTGGCCCGGGCAGTTCTGGCCTCTGAAGCTGGGCAGCCAACTGCTGCTTGCTCTGCGGTGGGACAGGCCGCTCTGCTCAGCTGGCCCTGGGGCAGTGGGGCTGGTGAGCTCAGGGCAGCCCCCTTGCCTCCCTGGACAGACCCGGTCCCTCAGTCTCACCCACCCTAAAGACATGGTCTGTTTTCTGCCCTGGAGAGGCCGGGAGCAGGGCTGCATGGCATTGGCCTGTGGGGTTCCAAGTGCGGGGCCCCTGGCCTGGCTCCCAGCCTAGGAGAGGGTGGACCCCCCACTCTCTGTCCCCAAGGAGGAGCTGTAACTATGCCACTAGGCACTTGCCTGAAGGGACAGAAGGGGGCTGGCAATCAAATGCCCAGCAGGAGGGCCCTGGGACGTGCCTACCCGAGATGGCTGGGCTGAGGCCAGGAAGTATGGGGCTGACGCGACGGGGATACACAGTGGCTGGCGTGTTGCAGCCCCATGAGGGTCATGTGGGGCCTCAACACGCTCGCCTATATCCTTGTGTTCCTGATGACCGGAGCCCACCTGTCTGTTACCAGCCACTCCACGGCCCGTGTGTGTGTGTGCGCGCGCACGCGCCAGCACCACCCGGTCCGCATGGGAGGCAGCTCGCTCAGGCCATGCTGGCTGTGCCCCTTCTCTTGTTCTTACTAAACATTTGGCAGCACCTGGTGGAAGTCTTGTTGACACAGGACTCAAGAAAACTAGTCTAAGAGGTTCTCCAGGTAATTTTCCACAGCAGCACGTGAGAAACGGGGAGGGAGGGGAAGCCATGAGCACAGAGCATGTGCCAGATGGCGCCTGGGTCGCCCGGCTGACCGTGTCCTCGGGAAACTCCGTCGGTGGCCAGGGCTCGGTGGGAAGCACGGACCTCCTGTGCCCTCTCCCCACGCCCGCGTGTGACTCCAGGACAGGCAGCGTCCTGCTTGGGCTGAGCTGGTCAGGCTGGACTTGGGGCTGTCGGACACGGCCTCAGGTGACCCACCTGGGGTGCGCGAGCCCAGTGCCTGGGAACTTGTGACAGCCCACAGGATCAGGCAAGGGCGCCCCCTGCTCGTAATCGGGTTTAGCCCTGGTGCCGATGGCCCCACAGCCGACTGAGCGCAGCCCTGAGACACACGGCCCCAGGAGCCCCCGTGCTGCCCGCACCAGGCTGTGTGCGGCCCCGGGAGCCCCGCTGCTGCCCTGGGGCCTGGCCCCTTGCTCAGCGCTGTCTTGGCCGTGCTCCCTGGGGGCTCTCTGGTTTTCGTTCACCATGGAGGCGGCTCTGGAATGTTCCGTGGAATGCCGGCCCGGCCAGCCCTGGTTCTCTTGGAAGGCCGGGATGGCCCAGGGCAGAGAGCACGCGCTGAGCTCCGGGACCCCTGAGGACACCCACGACAACGGCCGGCCTCTCGGGCCTTTTGACCACCGTGGGCTCATCTGTCCAAGGAGGGTCAGCACACGGCTCCCTCCTGTGGCTTCCTGAGACGCCTGCTGGGTGCCAGGCATATTCTAACTCCTGCCAAGGAAAGCTCGGAGCCAGTGCTGAGCCAAACACAGCAACACAGGCCCAGCCGTCCCATCCAGGCAGCCGGGCTGCAGAGGCTGAGCCAGATGCAGCGTCCTGGACACTCTGAGTGTGCACTGGGGTTGGCGGTCCCGAGTGTGCACTGGGGAGGTGGGAGGTCCCGAGTGTGCACTGGGGGTGTGAGAGGTCCCGAGTGTGCACTGGGGGTGGGTGGGAGGTCCCGAGTGTGCACTGGGGGTGTGGGTGGTCCCGAGTGTGCACTGGGGAGGTGGGAGGTCCCGAGTGTGCACTGGGGGTGTGGGATGTCCCGAGTGTGCACTGGGGGTGTGGGATGTCCTGAGTGTGCACTGGGGGTTTGGGTGGTCCCGAGTGTGTACTGGGGGTGTGGGTGGTCCTGAGTGTGCACTGGGGGGTGGTCCCGAGTGTGCACTGGAGCGGTGGGAGGTCCCGAGTGTGCACTGGGGGTGTGGGTGGTCCCGAGTGTGCACTGGGGGGGATGGGGGTCTTGGTTCCGAGTGTGCAGTGAGGGGATTGGGAGGTCCCGACTGTGCACTGGGGGGGGTCCCAAGTGTGCACTGGGGGTATGGGTGGTCTCGAGTGTGCACTGGGGGTGTGGGAGGTCCTGAGTGTGTACTGGGGGTGTGGGTGGTCCTGAGTGTGCACTAGGGGGTTGGGGTTCTTGGTTCCAAGTGTGCAGTGAGGGGAATGGGAGGTCCCGAGTGTGCACCGGGGGTGTGGGTGGTCCCGAGTGTGTACTGGGGAGGTGGGTGGTTCTGAGTGTGCAGTGGAGGTTTGGGGGTCTTGGGAGGTCCCGAGTGTGCACTGGGGCGGGTCCTGCGTGTGCACTGGAGCGGTGGGAGGTCCCGAGTGTGCACTGGGGGTGTGGGTGGTCCTGAGTGTGCACTGAGGGGGGTGGGAGGTCCCAAGTGTGCACTGGGGAAGTTGAGTGAGGCGTGGATTTCTTGGATTATGCTGTTGACACACTTCTGGCCTGAATTGATTTCAGAGTCTTGCTTTTCTAAAAGAAAGCACCACACTGGGGAGTGTGCTTGCTGCCCCTTGCGTTTGTGTTTAGGGCACTGCTGACTGAATACTTCCTTGCACGGAAGGCTCCGTGCCTTTAGGGGACTTGGGAGCATCCCTGCCATCTTTAGCCCAGATGCCAGTAGTGCACACGCACACACTTAGGAAAATAAAAAATGTCTGCAGTCTCTGCCACATGTCCCCTGGGTGCAAAATCACCCCTTTGGAAACCATGGCATTGAAGTTAAAGAAAATTTGACTCCTGCTTCACGTAACACAAGAAGTTAATGCCAGGTAGAGTATATTTAAATATAAAAGTGATCTATAAGGCACTTAGAAGATAATGTCAAACTAGTCTGTGGCCCCAGTGAGGTCCCCTGTTTTTATTAATAGGCTTTATTGGTGCACAGTTGCCCATTATCTTACCTTGGTCTACCCCTTCTCTCGTACCACAGTGGCAGACTTGAGTCATCAGTACATACCTCGTAGCTCTCAAAATCTAAAATATTTACTGTCCTTTTACAGAAAAACTTTGCTGACCCTATTGACAGAAGAATATTTCCATGACCCTGGGGTAGAGAAGTATTTCTTAAGTAAAGCACAAATTGCTGTAATGATAAAGAGAAATATTGTAAAATTGGGCTACATTAAAATAGCCTAAAGAAAAACAAAGTTGGAGGACTAATATTACCTGACTTAAGACTTACTACATAAAACCACATTAATCAAGACAGCCCAGTGTTGCCAAAAGAACAGACAAATAGATCCGTTGAACAGAACAGAGCCCAGACACAGGCCCAGACAACATGGTCGCTGACCTTTAAGAGGAGCAAAGAGTCTCAACAAATGGCGCTGGACCGGTGGGCCTCCCCCTGCACGTGAGCCTGGACACAGACCTCACAGCCTCACAGACGTTAAGTCAGAGCGGGTCAGGCACCGACACGTGAAACGCAAAACTAAAGAAGTCCTAGGAGACAACATAGGAGAAAAACTAGCTGACCCTGGGTGGCAGTGATGCTTCAGGCACAGCACCAGGGCACCACCCACAGCAGAAAACACCGATGAGGTTCATCAAAGTTAAACCTTCTGCAAAAGAGACACGTGATAAAGGGCTGCTATCCAGAACACGTGGACTCTCAAAACTCAACAGTAAGCAAACAAACCACCCCATTAAAAATGGGCAGAGACCCTCATAGATACCTCCCCAAAGATACTCAGATTGCAAATACACATGTGCAAAGATGGTCCACGTCATGTGTCACCAGGGAAATGCAAATTATAATGACATGCCCTACACACCTTTGAGAACAGCCAAAACCCGGAACACTGACCGCACTGGGCGCCGGCGAGGACACGGGGCAGCGGGAGTCTCACTTGCTGCTGGGAGCACAGCACAGTGCAGCCGCTCTGGAAGATGCTTTCGTGGTTTCTTACAAACCCAAACACCATTCTAGCCCGCAGTCACGCCCCTTGGCATTCACCCAAAGGAGTTGAAAACTTATGTCCACACAGAAATGTTTATAGCAGCTGTGTTCACAATTACCAACACGGGAGCAGCTAAGACGTCCTTCAGGAGGTGACAGATAAACTGGTTCATGTGATGAGGGAATGTTATTCAGGGCTGAAAAGAAAGGAGGTCTCAGCCGTGAGGAGACCTGGAGGAACCTTACTGCACATCACGAAGTGAAAGAAGCCAGTATGAGGAGGCTGCACACTCTCGTGATTCCCACTATATGACCTGAAAAAGGCAGAGCCACAGGGTCAGTGAAAGATCAGCAGGTGCCAGGGACTGCGGGAGGGGAGCACAAGCTCAACATTTGAGGGCAGTGAAACCACTCTGTGTGACACGACACTGGCGCATAGGCATCGGTGTGTATTTGTCCAGGTAGGGCACCAAGGGGGACCTGACGTCCAGTGGGCGTCAATGGGGGCTTGTCAGTCGTGGCAAACGCACCATCCGGTGGGCACACTGAGTGCGGGGACGGGGTAGTGGGAAATCTCTACTGTCCCTTCAGTTTTGCTGTGAACCTAAAACTGATCTAAAAGTTAAAGCATTTTTTAAGAATAAATAAATAAAATCAAGAACTTCTTCTGTTCATCAAGGTGCCACAGAGAGTGAAAAGACAAGCCAGGATGGGTGAAACACAGGAACAGCAGCGGCTCACGGCCAGGGCAGACGCGGCCCCTGCAGGTTGCTGAGGAAGTGTGAGTGCCCGGCAGCAGGGAAGGACCGGTGGCCGGCTGGCCCGCAGGCGGCACTGCACCCCGTCAGCGAGGAGGTGCAACCATAAACAGCGTGAGACACAGACACGAGGAGGTGCCACACACATGGAGGACCCTCAGATCCAGCCGTGCCAGGTCTGAGCAAGTCAGCCGCAGGAGGGCCAGACTCCGCAGACGCGACAGTCTGCGGTCAGCCACAGGGACAGGGGGCGTGCGCTGTCCAGGAGCAGTGATGGTGCGTGTCTGCGGAAGGCGGCCTTTCCGCCTGGGCGTGCTCCCCAGACGAGCTCACGTCCCTGTGTTCCTGCTTCCATACGAGGCCACTCAGAGCCTTGGAACCCCAAGAAACCCCAAGGGGGTGACTGTGCGGTGATGCGATCATGAGGGGGAACCGCATGTGTGGGCAGACAGGCCACGGGCCACACGCACGTGTCTTTTAGCAGAATGCTCAGCCGGAGAAGCCAGGACAGAGCCACTCCATTCCACAGGCGGAGGACGGGCAGGGCCGTGTGCCAGGAGACGCAAGAGCAGGTGGGCGCCTGCCTCACAGCCCCGCACCTGCTCTGCAAGTCACCACATCACAAATCCATTTTAAGCCTTCTTTGTGTGTGTGTGTTAAATTTTGTAGCCAAAAGCTTTAGAAATCTCTGCATATGCAGCGGTTGCCACCTAGGAAGGCGCCGGAGTCTCAAGGGCGCCGCCCGGGGCCAGACAACAGCTCTGCGGAGTGTGGCCCTTAGAATGTGGACAGAGTCTCTGCTCCTTTGGTCCCCACCGCAGGCAGCGTGAGCCGCAGACAGAGGCTGTGTGCTCGGCAAGGACGCTGCAGTGGTTGTGAGTGTGGCTGGGCCCCTGCGAGCACCTGCTTCCTGAGCGCCTGTGCCCCTGTCCTTGAGACACAGCTCACGTGCCAGAATGTTCCCTGTTAGTGGCACACAGCTCAGGGGGTTGGTACGTTCCCAAGGCTGTGCACACATCCCCACTGTCAAGTTCTAGAACCTTTCCATCCCACCCAAAGGGAACCAGATCCTTTGCAGCCTCTGACACATCTGCAGCCCCACCTCCAGCTGGTCTCAAGGGCCGACTAGCACAGTCTGTGCTGGACAGTGAGGTGGGGTGAAGTCAGCAGAGGGGCAGGCTGGGGACACTCCACCAAGGGACACCTGGGGTGGCACCTGGGTGCAGGACCCGGCCCTGGGGACATAGAGTCAGGCAGCCTCTGGCCAGGGTCTATTATCATGAAGGCCAGGCTTTGGCAGAGATGGGTCACCCCACAGAAAGGCACCCAGACTACACTGCCAGCCAGGGTGGGCACAGTCAGTGGGTGGGGGGTTGGCGGCTGTCCTGGAGGCTGGGTACAGGGTGGGCACAGTCAGTGGGGGAGTGGTTGTCCCGGAGGCTGGGGTTCCGGGAGCCACCACCGGGTCGAGAGTTGCATTGCTCACATTCTTTGGCCAGGACAAGAGATAAAGACATTTTTGTGGACAAGAACAAAATTGTTGGCTCAAAACATTTTTATCAGGCCCTGGCTCTGGGCTGGACAATAGACCAGGCAGACTTCAGCGGGTCTGGGCGATGCTGGTGAGAAGGGTTTGGGGAAACACTGACTCCTGCTTGGCCCTGGCCCTGGGCCGTGCCGAGTGGTCTCGTGTTCTGCAGCGCCCGGGGGACTCCCAGGGGCACAGGCTTGTGGCCAGATCTGCAGCTCAGCTTCTGGGCACAGCAGCGACCGAGGTGTGGTCGGTCCCCATGGGGACAGTGGGCGCTCGCTAGGACCCAGCATGAAGCTGCTTTGTACTGTGTTTCTGGCTCCCCGTCTCAACCAGCAGAAGGAGCCCCCTCTTCTCCACACAGCGCTTCCACTTAGGACCGGCAGGCCCTCTGCCCCCGCAGTGGCTGGTGAAGGGCCCCACGGGGGCTCCAGCACCCCCAGACTGGTGTTCCTGGAAACCCTCAGGCTCCTGAGCCTAAGTTCAACCACGTGAACATGGCCCAGCAGACCAGCCACAGGCCTTCCACTCCTGGTCAGTAACCAAGAGCCTTTCGCAGACCAGCTCACCAGGCCCCTGGGGCCTGACTCACTGTGGATTCTCTACATTCCTTGTAGGAACATGTATGTTTGCCTTCTTTGAAGAGAACTTCCTATGACTCAGAAAACAATACTGGGTGTTTCTGCACTGCGCTGGGAGCATTTGATCTGTCAGACAGAACTGGGCTCGCAGCCAGCGAGGGGCAGAAGACCTCGGCCCCCTCAAGCCCCTCTCTTTGCTGTTTCCCCTTTTCTCCTCCTCCCTTGCCCCCTCCAGGCCTGTAATGGAGGGGCTCAGGCTGTCACTCAACCAGGATCCCGTCACCTCAGTCTGCGCACACTTCTCGGTCTGAGCACCAGGTGTGTGCAGGGGGCGGCCCTGGTGGCCTCGGTAGCTGTCGGTCTGTGAGAAGCAGAGCTGCACCCCAGCCTCGGCTCAGAACGGGGACTGCATCTCAGAGGCACCTGCTAGGCAGGTGGGGGGTCCGTACGGGGCCCTGCAGGGTGGACCAGGCATTCTCTCTAGCATCTCCATGACGGATGGCCGTGCAAAGCCCAGACTCTTTAAGTAGGAGACACGCGGCCTCGGCAACAAACCTCTCTTCAGGTGTGGCGGCACAATCGGGACAAACAGCACACAGACGGCGGCCGACGCGCAAGCCCTAGAAGCAGCATTTTGTATTTGAGCCGAGCCATCTTTTCATGCGAGCAAATGAAAGCCAAGAGGGCACAGCGCCGAGGACAGGGACCCCGCGCCTTCCTAGGGACACACGCATACGAGTGCATAGACGTGCAGCGTTCCTCAAAACGTGTCTGCGCCAGGGATGCACCGGGCGGCGCTCCCTTTGCAAACCAGTAACAGCTGAGTAGGAGGTGGGACGTTCGGCTCTGTGGTGTCTGGGTCGCACGCTGGGCAAGGCAGCTGAGTGGAGGTGCCACCCAGGCCTCAGTCACCTGGGGCTCTGTCCCCTCCACTGGTCCTGGCCTCTCCTTGCAGAGGATGTGCCTGGGAGGAAAGGAAGGCGTGGACTTCTGGAACGTTCTATTGATTCTATTGATGTCTCTAGGAGGTTGGCCACACAAGCAGGGTTTGCAGAGGCTGCTTTGTTTTTTAAACAAAAACAACTCTTTTTCAGTCGCCCCCTGTCACGGTGCATAGGGGGGCGGCTTTTCCCCTGGGAGGAAATGGACTGGAGCATGGGGAGGCAGGGCACTGGGAGGAAGCCCGCCGTGGCAGCTGGGCTGGGCCGGAGCCACGCGTCCTCGGATGCAGGGGTCAGTGGCAGGCGAGGTGGGGGAGCTGCTGGAGGGCTGCAATTAAACAGAACAGTCAGCACAGAGGTGCACCCACGCCGTATGGGGGCTGTGAGGACACACCAAGCCTTACCGGCACGCTTCATGGAGCCCACAGGGGCTCAGGTCCCTCCAGGTCCAGGGTCACCTGCCTAACTAAGCACATCTAGCAGGAGCCGTTCCCTGACCAGAGTGCACCCCCAAGGAGGGGTGTCTGGTTCAGCCCAGGGGTCCCCTTGGCACAAACTCTGCTGCCTGCGGGGACGAGACATCCAGGCAGGGGTGCCAAATGTCCACCTGCGGGATTCCTCAGGCTTCCCGGCTCAGGCGCCTGCTGTGCACGAGTCACTGGCCTTTAACCATACTGACACCAGGACACGCACACGTCCGGCAGGCTGCCAGCTCATTTGGGGGACCCTGGGTTCACCCAATACTTCACATTTTAAGGGAAAAAACAAGAGCATCAACATTTTCAACATAGGGTGATGGTTAATTTTATGTGTCCACCTGGCCAGGCCTTAGTGCCAAAGAGTTTGCTCAAATCTCAGTCTGGACAGGGCATTTCGTGGACATGATTAGCATGCACATCAGACTTTGAGTCAAGCCGCTGCCTCCCAGACATGGGTGGGCCTCATCCAATCAGTGGGAGATCTTAAGAGAAAAAGGGAGGAGGGACTTCTGCCCCAAGTGCCTGTGGGCTGCAGCCTGCAGCCTGCCCTGCAGACCCTGGGCTCTGTCTTCACATCTGTGCCATCGTGTGTGTGCGCAGTTCCTGTGGTCCTACTTCTCCGAAGAACCTGATACACGAGGCGAAGTAAAAGGGCCCCTGAGAACACAGCACAGATTGTAAATCCACAGAATTTCCAGGTTTTTTCCACCTGCCAACAAAGTTTTACATTTTTTTCTTTCTTTTTAATTAAGTTCCAAGGGTTAAAAATGCCTACTTAAGACCAATATTTAAATAGATAGGGCAAACTGTCCCTCCTATGAAAGTGGGCAGGGGCTCTGACCACCCAGGGCTCTGTGCGCCAGGTGCCCAGGGCCCCAGAGGCCGGCCTGGCCGGCCCGGCTCTCCACACAGCTGTGCCCTCTGGGGGGCTCAGGGCTCTGAGAGTGTCCCCACGCGTCTCAGGTGTAGCTGCTCAGGGTCCACACCAGGATCCCACGGCCTAGGCCCCTGCCTGCCTGCATTTTCCCTTTCCGACCACAGGGGACCGAGCAGACCCCGACAGAACATTCCCGCCGTCTGCTGGGAGCTCTAGCTGCACACGTCCACTCAGTTCTTCAGGGCAAACGAGCAGCTGAGAGACTCGGAGTGAACCGCCCAGATCACAGAACACCAGCAGGGACCGCGGAGTGAACCGCCCCAGACGGCCTCACAGGGACGGGCCAGGCCACTGGATCTGGGAGCCTCTGTCACCGCTGATGACCAGCAGACGCTGGAAGCACCAGCCCCCTTCCGCTGGCTGAAGAGTCATCAGTTCCGGGTCTTTCTAAGGAAGCACAGGGAACGCCGGTGATCTGCCATCTCCTCGGAGCCTGACCACCGACATGCACATAGTCATGCTCCTCCAGATCCTGGCCATAAAAGCCAATGAGGCCATCGGGGGGCCCGGGCATCCCCAGGAGGGTAGCAGGAGCACCTGCTGTTTGGGAAGAGCCAGAGGCCGCAGAAGATGGGTGCAGGCAGGTGCGGCTCTGGATGAAGCCGTTCCATTCACGTATGTCCACCTAGCGCCTGCAGCCCACTGAGGAGACACCCCTGGTCCCAAGCGCCCCACATATAACTACACACACAGGACGCAAGCCCAGTGCCCCAAGGTCAGGAGCCATCTGCACCCACGTCTAAGTGAGAGCTGGGGATAAAGCATAGCTGGGGCTTGAGCGTGTCCTCTGGGTGCCCCCTCACAGCCAGGCACACAGGAGGCTGGTGATGAACGGCCCAGAGGCAGATGCACCAGACAGATGGGCTCTACGTGACTGCCTCCTGCCCCCCAGGCACAGCACGGACACACTGCCCCCTCCCCGAGGTCCCATGTGTGGGCACAGCTGTGGGGCCTCTGGATGGGGCCCGTCTGCCTGCTCTCCGTGTGTGCTTCTCTGCACACTGCCTCTCTCTGGACCAGTGTTTGTGACCAGAGGTGGCCACCAGCCACAGGCCCAGCACTGTCCCTGGGCCCAGCACCAGCCGTGGGCCCGGCACTGGCCGTGGGCCCAGCACCAGCTGTGGCCTAGCACTCCTAGAGCTGTGGGTCTCATGTTCTGGGTCTCATGTTCTGGAAATCTGAGAAGATGAGGAGGGCAGAGCAGAGCCCCAGGGCACAGTCCAGCTAAGGTGACATGGTCCCCCGTGGTGGGGACCCACGGTGACGCCCGGGGAGAGAGGATGACGGCTGCCGAGCGGGGCTGCCTGGGCATCTGGGAAGGCCTTGCCTGGGGACACCTGGGAGGCCCCCGCACTCGGGAGTGACTGCCCCAGGGGCTGGTGTCACCTCGCTTCCTGACTCAGGATAATTCCTCCCATGTCCCAACAGTGGGGAGACCAATTCCAAGGCAGGCCCCACCTGATGGGCATGTTGCTCATGGGGGCCCCGGCCCCTGGACTCAGGAGACACCTCCAGGGGCCCGCACGGCCTGGCTGTGCCCCCTCAGAGCTTGGTGAGTGGCAACTGGCCAGCCCTCCCCAGCTGGGGGTGTCCCACTGACTGCTGCCCCGCAGAGACCCGAGGTGGCACTCAGGGATGGTCGCGGGGGCTGCAGCAGGGCTCCGTCAGAAATTTGGAGGCCCAGCACCCAGAGAGGACAGCCACCAGCTCCATTTGCAAAGTGAGTGGGGAAACCAAGGCATGAAGAGACAGGAAGGATGCTTAGGGAGACAGAGCCAGGCAGGACCCGGTCACGACAAAACCACGCCCAGCAGGGGGTCCCTGTAGGGCTGCAGCCACAGCCTCCTCGGCACGCCACATCCCATGTCTTGGGCTCCAGAGAGCCCCCCCACTGCTTCCAGCCACACGCACCATCCGATGGGGGGCTCTACAGACCTGGCTGATGCAGGGTGGTGCCCCTGGCCTGTGAGCAGGGCTGGCATGAGGGAGTTCTAAGTCACAAAGCGAGCTTTGCAGAGATGAGGGAGCCTCGTGAGGGCCTCCCCCAAGGCCCCGGGACCCTGGCTGGCTGGGCAGTCACAGGCTTGGACACCCAGCTCTGTCCCGGGCAGGCTTGCATCCTCCTCCCAAATGGCTGTCATCAAAAGAACGTCTTGCTTCCTGTCAATGTCACTCTTCAGTGTGGGTCCCCTTTGGCGGCACGAGGATATGACCTCACAAATCCACCAGGGACCGAGGCCGCAGCCCACGAGCCCAGTGCAGAACACAGAGCTTCTCACGTCTGAGGATCGTTAAGCTTCCCAGGGCTTGGAGGTGCTGCTGTCAGAACCATAGGCACCGAAGCCCACCAGCCGCCCTGGAGCAGACCCTGAGATGGGCTGCCTGCACAGTGGCTTTCACCTTCGCACCCAGGGACACACGCCACGTCTGGGGGCGTTTTCAGTCATCACGGGGCATGCTTGCAGCTGGCTGAGGAGCTGCGCCACTTGTCCCCCAGCAGGAGCCAGCAGTGCCCTCAGCCATGCAGCACCCCCCCTCAGCATGGTTCAGGGCCGGGTCTGGGGTCCACGAGGGCCAGGTCTGTGTGCACCACGGAGGAGGCGCCAGCACAGGGAAGGAAGAGTGGACCCCGCGGAGTGGAGCCCAAAGCCAGCACTGCCCTGAGGCCAGGTTCCACCCACCAAGAGCCCCCTCCCCATAGCAGCCCTGAGGCCAGCAGGTTCTACCGGCTTGAATCATGTGAAGCTGCCACTTTGTGTGTAAAGCATGGGTGGGTGTTGGCATGTCCATGTGGCTGCACCGAGCTTCACTGTCCATGGGGCCCAGGCATCCAGGTGGCCTGTCCCCAGAAATTGTGCCCAGGGGGCTGCAGTACAACGAGCTTCTGAGGAACCCATCATGGGTCAGAAAAGCTCAAGGCCTGAAGGTCACTGAAGGCTGGGTCACCCAGAGAGCAAAGGGTAAATGCCAAGGGGCCATGGGCCATCCGCGCAAAGCTGGAGTCACCTGCCCATCTCCCCCAAGATTGTCCTCAACCCCCTTGCCAGTCCCTGCTGGCTGTGCTGCCCTGTCACCTACATCAGGAGAGGGGTCCCCTTCCCTCAGCCCAAACTCCCTCCATGCCTGTCCAATCGACGCTGTTCCCGAGGTCCACCCCAACAATGTGAGCACCCCGCCTCTGCCAGGCGACACTCAGCCTACCTGCAGGGGCAGCGGGCAGGGTGAGCCAGCCGGGAGGGTCCCCGTCGTCTGGCAGAAGCCTGCGTAGGCCAGGATCTGCTGGGCTGGGTTGTAGAGGATGTGAGGTGGTGCAGACAGGCCGTAGGCCAGCGGGGACAGAGCGACCTGCCCCAGAGAAGGGAGGCGTGTCGGTGCGCACCCCAGCACCCCTGCTCCAGCCCTCAGGTGGGGTCCCCTCTGAATTCTGCTGGGGAGCAGTTCTGAGAGCCCAATCGCATGGCTCTCAGACAGGAGCTGCACTCTGCACCTTATTGTTGTTTCTCACTTGCTGTTTCTTGGTCAGAGGGCCCAGAGCTGCCACTGTCCCAGTGGGAGCTCAAACAGCTGCACCCCAGACTTCACTGAGGCAGCAGGAGCCAGGGAACCCCGAGGAATGGGGGTGGGCCCCGCTGGGAAACCGGAAGCAGAGGGAACAGAACCGGCGCCTTGACGCCATATTCATGAGCAGCGCTGAGCACCTCCTGCTGAGCCAGGGCCACCCTGCTGGCCAGAGCTGCGTGCCCAGGGTGTGGTGGTTTGGGGCAGCCTCCTGGCTGAGGCAGCGGCACAGCCGGGGACAGAGCAGGCGTGGTGGGGCTCGAGGCCCACTGAGGGTGTCAGGCCTGAAGGGGCTGCCCTGTGTCTCTCGGCATTCGTGCCATTCTGGGGTTTGGGGAGATGGGGGTGCACAGGGCTCCCCATGAGGGAGATGCCCATTTTGGTGCGGGTGGCTTCCCTTGGAGAAATGGGCACTCAGTGGGGACACTGGTGGGCCCATCCCCACACTGTCCACTCCTTCCCCCTGGGCCCAGCCAGAGATCGCAGCTGGGCAGGCGGGACTTGCTGCCTGCCCTCCTTAGTGCGCCTACGGCTCCGCGCAGACCCTTCTCGCCCAGACTGGGCTTAAACGACATGCCTACAGGTGTTACCACGTGGCTGAAACTGCCCAGCCTCAGGAGACCCTATTGCAGGCCCAGATCTGCCTTGTGCTCAGCCTCCAGGGCACAGAAGTGCCTCTGGCACCTGCTTCGTGACCTCATGCGGTGACTGTGGTGGGGAGCCCTCACATGAGGGAGGCCTTGGGGCCGGAAGAGGTTTACCTCCACCTGGTTTGGGTCTGGCTTGTGGGGTGTCTGCACGTGTTTACATGGCCTTTGGTCAGGAGTGGGCATCGGGTGGGTGGCTCCTGTGAGCTGCAGCTCTCCTCAGCTGGATGGGCTGCACCTCCGTGTCACGCCTCTGGGGCTGAGGGTGACTTGGGAGGGTGCCACACAGGATATCTAGGCTGGAACAAACAGGTCCTGGGAGACGGCGGGGCAAGGGGACTGGTTGGTGGCCCCAAATGCAAGCCATTTTCTGTAAAAAGAACTTTGATGTGCAGTCTGGAGGAGATGACAGAACGGCTGGTACAGCCGGGACCCTGCTGGCCAGCCCTTCCTGGAGGCCCTGGCCGTTGAGGCTCACACCCATCACCCCCGAGTCGGGGAAAATGCAGACCTGAGCCTGCCCAGATCTGCCAAGTCGGAGGCCCCAGCAAGCCCACGTGCTGCTGGGGGAGAAATGGTGGCACCCCCACCAGGGTGCCCAGTCCTGGTCTCTCGAGCTCAGCTGCTTCCTAAGCGGGATCACGAGGCGCACGCCTCGGACGACGAGGGTGAGCACGCTGGGCTGGCCCTGCCTCCAGAACCTGCCAGCAAGCACTGATGGAGGGTCTCCCAAGCCTCAGTGCGCCCATTTGTGCCGGGGAATTACAGGGACTCTGTGGGCAAGGCGCCCACAGGGCCTGCCTCAGAGAGCACCACTGTGCCAGCGGGCACACTCACCGCGTCCTTGAAGGCCCCCAGGACGGCCGCCGTGACGATGCCCAGGAGCACGCCCAGCACGTTCAGCATTGTCGAGGCCCAGAGCAGCCGGTACAGGTGGAGTGCATCCTGGCAGCTGCTCACGCCCACAAACTCGTAGTAGGTGTGAGGGCGCTCGGGACTGCACGGGGGAGGGACAGAGTGACCCCAGGCCTGCGAGGGGGTGACTTCCCACACGCACAGAGCCGGCTGAGAGGGCTGCAGGCCTCTACTCCCTGTGCCCTGAGGCCACAGCGGGAGGCCGTCCCCAGGGAGTCTGGGTGTCCTTCTGGGGCAGGAGCCCAAGCCTCTGAGAGGGAGGACCCCCAACACCTCCCCCAAGACCAGGCCCAGGCAGGTCAGTGGAACGCCAACCAAGTCACTGCGCAGCGGGCCGCTCACAGCGCCCGGCACAGCCCCACGTCCGCCTGCAGGCTGCCAGTGGCGGCCCCCACAGAGCTGCTCCTCCCATTATCTTGGAAATAGGATGGACCCGCCTCTTGGGGATGGGTTACCGCTTGAACCCCTGGAGTTTTCAGCAGTCCAGTGGAGGGCCCCCCGGGGGCAAGCACTAACCCCCCTGCTGGTCTTCCTGAAGGCATCGGAGCCATGCACGCACAGTGTGGAGGCAGGGGAGGTTCTGGCTCTGTGTGTGAGGAGCGCGGAGGTCGGAAGTCCATCCTAACAGGTGAGGACCTGGCAGGCTGATACACTGACATCCCCTCTGAGGTCCCTAAGACAGGGCGGGCACGGGCTGGCCGCTGCCCCCAACAGAGTCCCGGCTTCCCAGAGCAACCTGGGTGGACACACAGCAGGAGGCTGTGTGGACATGTCTCAGCGTTAAAAAACTCCAGGGGACCCAGTCATGGGAGCCCGCACAGTGTGACATTCACCTCTGGGAGCCCAGCCGGGGGCCCCACCCTCAACATGAGAGAGCAGGGCCCTCGGCCAGCACTGGGGGAGAGGAGGCAGTCCCTGGTACCCACACTCTGCAGAGGCTGCCTGCAGGGCAGACAAGGGGCAGAGCTGGACCCAAATGCCCCAGAGGTGGGACACCAGCTGCAGCCCCACAGCCAGTCACAGCTGAGGGGACAAGGAAGTGGAGGAACCTATGAGGCTCCCCGTCTGGAGGCACAGACTAGAGACCTGGGCACAGGGCCCTGGGACGCCCACCCCACCACAAGCCAAGCCTCAGTGTCCCCATCTGTGAGGTGGGGCCGCCGCCTGCTCCCCATGGAACCCTGAGACGGCGCAAATGCCAGGCACATGCCCTCCCGCCCCCCACTCACCTCCCGCAGCGGTAGAGGTCACAGCAGTAACAGGTGTTGCTCTTCACCTTCAGCTGGCACCTGCCGTCCAGGGAGGGACAGGAGACCTGCGGGCAGAGATGCTGCTCAGGCGCCAGCATGTCCTCGCCCACGGAGCAGAGGCCTCCTGGGGCCTGGTGGTCAGGCAGCTCCACCCCCAGCCCACGTCTCAGGTGCAGCAGCGCTGGGGGGGGCAGGAGGAGTTAGACACCCAGGCTTGGCCACGCGGGGGTCCAGGCAGCAGCACCTGCTGGACGAGGAGCGGGAACGGGTTCCAGGCACCATGCCTGTGGCAGGACCCTCCGGGTGGGGACAGGTCGTGATCTGTGGCTGACTGCTGGCACCTCCCATCAGAGTGGGTGCTCAGGAACGCTGGAGCGGTGGACTAGATTAACCTGGTAGGGCAGGCAGTCTAGGCAGCAGGGTCCGGGGGGCGGCCAGTGGAAGATGGCCCGTGTGACTGACTGGTGGGGCTGGGGAAGGAGGTGCAGTGGTGAGAACTGGTGGGCTGGGCAGAGGACCATGGGCAGGCACGGGGCAGCTTTAGGGGTCAGGGCAGGTGAGGAAGGGGCCGGGAAGCCCACGGCTCCTGGGAAGGTCAGAGCCACAGGCCAGGGAGCCGGAGGTCACTGGGTGACCCTTGGGGGGAGACGTCCCTCACAGGGAGCAATAGCAGGGGACAGTGGTCAGCCAGGAGCAGGGTGAGCCCGGAGCCCAGCGCTGCCCGACTGGAGGTGGAGGCCTGTATGGCCAAGCTCTGCTCGCCCACAGCTGTGCCTGCTGTCGCACTGGGGAGTTGAGAAGCTGGGGCAGAGACCATCTCGCCTGTAAATCATAGTGATTACTGACCCTTTATAGAGAAAGCTGCTGGTGCCTGGTGTGGAGCTGTCTGGGCAGCTGTGGCCCCAGCATCCTGGGGGAGCTTTTCAATCTCTCCTCCCTGAAGCTATGCCTGAGATGAGACCCAACATTGGGATTTGCGCCAGCTCCCGGGCTGCCCCATGGGCACGTGGGCCTGTCCTCAGAAGGCCTGACAAGTGGGGTTCGGGAGGGGCTCCTTGCTTCTCCATGATCCCAGGAGCAGAGGGGACATCAGCCTTGGGCTGTCAGGGAGCAAGGAGAGGACATGCGGTGGGCAGCACACCGGGAGGGCAGGGAGCCAGCAACACACGCTGAGCGGCTGGGGCCCGGCTCCCTCCGGCGGCTAGCGCCAAGAGGCCAGAGCCAGCCTTTGGGCGAGAAACATGCTGTCTCCCTGGGAGGGGGCGGGGAGGCTGCTGCAAAGAGAATGCCCTGTTCCTCCTGCGGTGCACACAGCGGTCCACGAGCCACACGGGGTCTCAACCACAGGGCGGGCCGTGACTCCCAGGACGACTGTGTGTCACAGAAGGCAGTCGGCGGCTGATTGCAGATCCATGCGACAGCACAATGTCAGAGCCCAGAGCGGGCCCCAGCTGCCTCACAGGCCACGGTGAACACACGCCGGAGGGCAGGGAGCCCCTGCACCCAGGTTCTGGCAGGAGGCGCACTGGGAGGACCCGCAGTCAGCATGTGAAACCAAGCACATCAAGTGGGGCACCTGCCTACCTCTGCCTGGTACACGTCGGGGGAGTTCCCTTCCGCACTGGAGTAGAGCTGGCACTGCCCTGCGGCAAGGGGCCTCGGCTCCTAGGGGCAAAGCAGGAGTGGATGGACGGCTTTCACCCACCAGGCGTGGTCACAGGCGGCTCCAGCTGGGCCTGCCGGTGGCCCTGAGCCCAGAACATGCCAAGGCCGACTAGGCTCTGCCAGACGGGGGTGCGAAGCCCGATGCCGAGGCTCCTGGGAGCAGTGACCCTGTGTCGGGGGACACGGCCTCCCACCTGTCAGCATGGCACAGCTGGGGGTCTCTTGGTCTTTTGAGGTGCACCACACGACTCTCAGAAAGGAGACCCCTCAGCTCCTGCCTCTTTCCCTAAAAACAAAACATTTTTTTTTCTGCTAGGAAGAGAGCAAAAAGGATTTCAGGCTAGTCCAATTCACACAGCCAATCATTTGTCTGCTCACCAGCCATGCAGTGAACCGCCTGCCATTCATCTGCGCCTCCCCCCCTCCCTCATCTCTCTACCCCTGCCCTCCCACCCACGGCCCTAGCCAGTCATCCATGCATGGGTCTGTCCCCAGCACTCCTGGAGCAGACATAGGGCCCAACTCTGAAGGCACCCAGGAAGGACACAGTCCCTGCCCTCGGGGGCCAGTGAGGGAGGCAGGTGACAGGCTGGCGATTACCAAGTGCTGTGATTTCTGTGCTGTAGCTGTGCCGTCTCTAGGGGATGTCGGGCCCCAGGCCTGTATTGTTTTATTAGGGTGTCCGTCCTCTCTCAGAGCAGGGGTGCTCTGACCTGAGAGTGTAAACAGCACAGTGACCCCAGTGGGAGTTGAGGGTGGCTGGGCGCTGGTTTGCTCAGACAGCAGCTCCTGGTGCCCAGAGCCCCATGCCAGGCCTGCTCTGGACGGCACAGCCAGGAGGGAGACGGCGGAACAGGGGACCTACATGGAGTGTGGTGGGAGGTGGGAAGGGCTGGGTGGAGACAGGAGGCTGGGAGGCTGGGGGCTGCCTGCTTGGGCCCCTCGCCCTTGGCAGGCCCGGCAATGACAGGGCACATGGGTCAGGCGCCTGCTCCACTCCTCCCCTTCTGGGTCTCGCTCCCCTGCATCCGCCGCCTGCTCCCAGGAAGCCTGCCAATGGTGGCCACACTCATGCGGGCTCTACAAGCACGGCCACACCAACGTGCCGCGGCAAGCTGTGCATTATGAAGGGTCATCCCCTTTCTTCCTGCCAGTAACCCCATGGGAGTGGCCTTCCAGACTTGGCACGATGTCCTCCTGGTCTGCCGCCAGCCAGCCCACGGCTGCCAGGCTTTGCCATCCACACTGTGCTGGTCTGGCTGGGCTGCCTCGGGGAGCCCACAGGGTTGGATCCTAGTGAGGCCTCTCCCTGCTCATGGCAGGGTTCTGTCCACTGACAAGGCCACGATCCCCACATGGGGTCCCACCCTCATGACCTCAGCTAGCCCGAGTCACCTGCAAAGCCTCCCCCAACGAGAGCAGCATACCGAGGGCAGGGCCCAGTGTGCAGACCTGGGGGCACAGACACAGCTGTGGGCCCCCCAGCCCCCACGTCACGTTAAATCAGTAACAAACACCTGGCATAAGACCGGGACCTCTCTGAATCCTTCTAACACAGTTTCACATGCTGTCTAATCTTTACTATTTAATCAGGATACAGTAATTCCTTTTAGTTTGAATTGAACAAAACTGTGACCTCTTAGTTCCAGTAAGTCGCGCAAACTTTGTTTAGTCTACGATGAGACATAGGCTGAGTTCCTGGGGAGAACCCTCACCTCCCACAGAGCCCAGAGTTCTTGCCCCCAGACGGGCATCGGGGTTACAGGCAGACCATTTCACGGACCCCCTTGACCGGTCCACACAAATAACACTAAGACACCCGACACATTCATCGTCAGATCCAAAGTTGTTAAAGCTCATTTAAAATCCTGTGTGTCTCCTATAGGGGCTGTCCAGCTACAGACGTGGGCAAGAGCTGGCCCACTACCTGATTTCACAAATAAAGTGTCATCAGCACACGGCCACGCTCATCGATCCACATACCTGTGGCTGCTTTTGAGCTGCAACGGCTGGGCTGGGCAGCGGCTGGTTCTCTGGCCCTTTCCAGAGAAGCCAGCTGCCCCTGGTCCACCATATGCCTGGCTGGGACCCCAGTAGGTGTCTGTGAGTGAAGGAGTCAGAACTGCCCAGGAGGAGGAGGACGCTGCCCCCTGTGCCGGCCCTGCGTAGCCTGTCGCCGAAGGTGCCCCAAATCAGTCAATAGTTTAAACACATTGGGGCACCCACAAAGTTCCTCTGCCAGAGACAAGTCCACCTGAGCTGACAGAGGCTGAGAGACCACCAGCCCCGCCGAGTGATGGCCAGCCCGGCCAAGTGACCACCAGCCCCACCGAGTGACCGCCAGCCCAGCCGAGTGACCGCCAGCCCAGCCGAGTGACCGCCAGCCCAGCCGAGTGACCGCCAGCCCAGCCGAGTGACCGCCAGCCCAGCCGAGTGACCATCAGCCCTGCTGAGTGACCGCCAGCCCCATTAGTCCCATCTCTGCTGTGATGAACCATGAACTCTGTGGGTAGGGAAGTCCAGGTCTGACACACTCATGGGTGAAAAGCTGGGCTAATTCCTGACAAATCTCCTGCCAGCAACGACGTTCTGATTCCCAGGGCGGTGTCCCACTTCACAAGGAGCCCAGAATTATATCTGGTGAGGGTCATACTTCACCTGCAAAGCTGAATCGCTTCAGTGAGTCCTATTGGACCATGAGATGAAGCAGGGCCTCTGGGAGAAGCTGCCGCTCACCTTGCGCCCTGGAGGCCGCATGGGTGAGATGCTCCCTCCTGGGGAACAATGGAGTCTGCAGGAAATTTCTCTCCAACCTGAGCAAGTGACAGGCCTGGGAAAGCCGCACATGGCAGGACCGGGCGCCCCTCCAAAACCAAGGGTCCCCAAACTGCCCACCTGACCTAAGCACTCCCCGAGCCTAGCTGAGCAAGCCGGTTACAGGCAGAAGTGGGGGGATGGGGAAGGGAGTGCAGTCCAGACAATACTGCACTGAGCCGTGGGCAGTCGATACACCCCGGGGCCAGGTACCCAGGGCCCGGATCCTTGGGGATGTGTGTAAGCATTTGCCGGGCCCACCGGGGCCTGCCCACTTGATCCCCCAACCATCTTCTCCCTGTCTCCAGCCCCCCAGGACGCCTGGGGCTGAAGACGCCCGTGTTCATGGGCCACGTAAAAGCCTCACAGTTAAGTCCCAGCTGCTGCTGGGCTCTGTACCCAACAGAGGAAAGAGGGCCGAGGGTGTGAGGCCAGCTGTGTTTTCTCACCCCAGGGCCCCTGCTTCTTTCCAAATTTTCTTTATTATTGCTGTCTCGGCCATACACATTCATAATTACCCCACGATTGGCTGTCTCCTGGCCACTGTGATGGGAATGGAGATGAGCCAGCTCACTGTCAGAAAGCGCTTGCAGTGGGAGGGGCGCCCCTGCAAAAGCACCGCTCCAGGGCCACCCAGCCAAGGCAGGATGTCCAGAGCCTCCACGGACCCTCTGGCCCCTCCTGCAGGGCATCCTTGTTACAACACAGGCCAGGCGTCCTGAGGGCCCATAAGGGGCCGGCCTCTAACGGGAACTAAGCCCCCAGCCAGTCGCCATCTCAGATGGGCCACACCACGAAACCAGACACGGTGTGAAGGTCCGGGTCGCATTCCCACAAGTGACAAGCAAGGGGCCTCACGCAGCCATGGGAGCCTCGGAGGGACCGCCTGTGACGGGCGCTCCTCCCAAGGACAAATGGGAGAGGAAGCAGGTCTTTGACAGGCAATCTTAGGCATGAAGTGCGCAGCCCACTGTCAGAATTAATGCGTGAAGACCAACCCCCCTCCTGTAGGATGCGCAAGCCTGGCGCGGTGGAGGGCCGAGGGCACACCAGGGGGTCCATCCAGCCCACCTGCACAGGGGGCTGTGGTCAGAAGACTCACTCCTGAACTTCGCAAGCATCTGACTCTGTCTTGCCATAGCGTACAGACACGTCTGGGGGTTTGTGCAGGACAGGGACACTGTCCATATTATTATGCAGGCCCACGACTGAGTCATTGCTTACCATGCTGTACGTCTAACCGCCTCGGGAGCTCGCGTATGTTTGTGTTCTGCGATTATGGGCCTGCCGCCGCGTGGGCTGCCTGCAGGTCCCGGCACCATCAGCTCCAGGTCCCAGTGCAGGGCGGCGGCCTCTGGGGCTGCCCACCCTCCTGGCCCGCCGGTGCTGACTGGAACATTATGGTTGGAGGCTGGATTCTCATGTTTTCTTCTCACAATAAATCACTCGTGTGCTTTTCGGAGGAAAATAGCACACACTCAGAAGGGCTGTGTTTTGGGGGACTCCAAGCTCTTCCACAAAGCACGCTCTGAAAGCCTCCATCCGTGGTTCTGGCCTATGGGGCAGGGGTTGCCCACAGAGGCCTGGGGGCAGAGAGCTGGCTCTGGGGGCACAGGCAGGCCCTCCCGTGATCCTGGCTCTGCTTGAAGCACCCCACCATAAAGCCGGCCTCACCCCTTCCTGGCAAGCCCGCATTAGGGGGAATCCTAACTCACTACCTTTTACAACAAGATGCCACTCTGTTAAAGGGGCTCAATATCCAACCATCTCTACCTGGAAATAGTACAACTGGCTGAAAAGACAGGGAGCCAGGTCCAGAAGGACACCGCGCCCTCTGCCCGGCTGGAGCCCCGCGGGACCTACACTTTGAGGGCTGTTCCCCTGGCTGAGTGGTGGACGGGGAGGAACCTGGGGGAGGTATAGGGGCTGTTTCCCTGCACACTGGGGGTGACCCGACTGCAGCTGGCGGGAAAGTGGTGAGAGGGCCTCACGGGCTGGTCTCATCTGTGCGGAGGCAAGTGGGCTGGGCGGCACTGGTGTATGTACGACAGACGCTACTGCTCCTGGTGGCTGTGCCCCACCAGCTCCAGGGGTGTGGCCTTTCGGGGTCCCTGTGATAAGACGGTGCCACCTGAGCAGGGCCACCACTGGCTCAGGGCCTCAGTGTCGCACACAGGCCGTCTGCTGACCTCCAGGTCAATCTGCTAACACTGTGCCCAGCACACGGCCCCCAGGGGGCAACTCATAGAGCAGCGTTCTGAGGGTGGACGTGGCATGTCCTCCTCACAGGACCCTGGACTCCTAGTCCCATGGCTGGCATGACTGGAGCCCCAGGACACGTCTGTCTTTGCACCCCAGCTTGGGCAAACCCCCCAGTGATTTGCCCTCCACCTGCCAATGGGATGACATTTGAGAAAACGCAGTTGTGAGGGCCCAAACCAAAGCGGCCCACTGCCTGCAGGGGACAGACTCGGGCGGGGTCTCATGCACGGCTGCCATTGGCTCCAGTCAGGCTGAGTGCCAGGCCCAAGACACAAACACGGCCAGAATCTCAGGTCAGTGAGCTTTGCAAAGACAAAAACGTGAAGCAAAAGTCTGGGACAAACACACACAAATGACTCAAAGTGGCACAAATGAAAACACTGACTCAAAGGACGATCGGGGTGCTGCTGGGCCTCAGCCACGGGGGTCGGGCCTCTGCCCGGCCAGGTGCCTGCGGCCCACACGCTCTCCTCGCCCCCCCGGGGACCCACCGCCTGCACAGGACCAGCTCTCCTGGAAGCCCCACTATGTTCTGTTCCTCTTCCCACACACCCACCCAAACTGCGCCATGCAGCAGTGGGTGAGGGCTGCCTGCCCTGCTCTTGCCAGGGGCCTTGCTGGGGTGGGAGACCCCTGGCTGGTGGAGCCCCCAGGGAGTGCCCTTTTCTGTCCTACCATTTGGCCACTGTGACCAAACACCATGGTGGCACATTTATAAACAGCAAATGCTTGTTTCCCCTGCCTGAGACGGCTGGCAGAGCAGAGGAGAGGCCTCTTCCTGGCACACAGACAGTGGGGGGGGGCTCTCTGAGGTCTCCACTGGGGCTCCACCTCGTGGCTTCATCCCCCGCCAAAGGCCCCCCCCACACCATCATGTGAATTGGTGACACATTCAGTTGTCGCATGCGGCCTGACCGCAGGTGACATTCTGCGAGGCTGTTGCACATCTGTTGACAATCCCGAGCAGGCAGCCAGCAGCTCACTGCCCACCTCATTAGAACGGGGCTGCCAGGGTGCGTTCAGTAGGCAGGGCCACCCTGGGAGCCAGCCGCTCAGTGAGCAGAGGCGGCGTGCACCAGACCCGACTACCAGCCGACGTCTGACCTCTGAGCGCAGAGGCGCCAAGAGGCAGCAGCAGAACAGGGCACCTGCCGGGACCGTCCACCTCAAAGGCAGCGGGTGACAAGTCAGGCCAGCCCACCGACCAGGCGCCCACACTCGGCCCCTCTCCTAAGCCTGCCTGCAGAGCGACAGGAAGAGCCATTTCCTCGCTTTATGATGAGGGTTTTAAAACACAGGAAAAGCAGGTACATAATTTGACAGCGGATTTACATTTACACGGCCACCTTGATGACTTTAACATAATCTAATATTTTCATATCATCGTCTCGCTGATCTTCCCTTTGCTTGGAACCCACGCTCTGTAATGTTGACCAAGAACAGGGCCGGCTGGTGGCCGTGAGCCGCGGTTCTGGGCGTGTGTCCTGACGCAGTTCTAGCTTCAGTACTGCTGGTGGAGTCTTGCACCACCATGAGACAAATGGTCAGAAAGGATTTCACGGTGACAAGGGTCAAGCTAGAAAATTCTGTCATGATTAGGAAAGATGTATTTGAACCGCAGAAACCTGGGGAGTCGAGAGGCGGCGGATTTCAGGATGCACTTCATCTGAAGTCTGAGGAGAGACCTGAGGAAAGTTACTTGGGAAGCTGAAAAGCCTGATCCTAAATGGTGTGGTGGTACCAGTGTGCGTGAGTGTGTGTACGGGCACGTGGTGTTCTGAGCACAGTCTGCAGGAAATGAGGAAAGGGAGTAGAGACGCAGCAGCTGGCAAACAGCACGAAGAGGGGCTTCCGCAAAATGAGATCCTGTTTGTGTAGATTTTTTTAACCCAGTCAAGCAGTTGAGAGCAAAATTAAAAAGACAGACTCACCATGTGCTGGGCAGCAAACACGCCGTCCACAACGGCACAGCAGAAGGCCGTCACCACACCGAAGCTGATGAACACGATCGCGGCAACCAGCTGGAGGCGGAGTGCAGAGGGCAGGAGCATCAGAGGCCAAGCACACTTCAGATACAAACCAGCCCCGGCCCGATGTTTAGGGTCCCCCTGCAGAGCCCGCCTCACCATGCTGGTCCTCAGTGACCCGCAGCCTGGGACAGAGCCCGGCCGAACTGTGCCCCATGCACGGCTCTTTCTGGTGGGGTCACCTTACAACAAGCAGGAGGCTCCAGGGGTGGAGAGCCCGTCAGTGCCCCTGCCGCACATGCTCCTGATGAATGATTGGGTCATCTACCCAGTGCCCATGACGGGCGGGCAAGTGGTGGGCAATTCTCTGCTATCACAAACACTGCTGTAGACCCCACACACGTCTGCAGAAAACATCTGGGTCCAAGTGAGCATCTCTGCAGACATATGGCGAGTCTCTGCACCTCAGGATCCAACAGCACTACGGCGCCAGCAAATGGGCCTCACTGTGCGTCCTCCAAGCTCCTCACACCCGAAAGGACACTTCCTATCACCTGCCCTCTGAGTTCTGCCATGTGATAGGAGGAGGCCCTCACCGTGACCCCCATCTACACCGGTGCTATTGGTGAGGTGGGTTAAGAACTGGTTTTACATTTATTTGCCAGCCATTTCTTTAGATGTTTTTTGTATCTTTTCATGTTATAGGAGTTCAGGTTTAACAAAACGAATAGCCAAAATAGCACAAATAAGTCCTCGTGTCCTTCCCACAAGCCCAGACACCAGCGTGGTGGCCCCGACTGCACTCTGGCCTGGCAGGAGCCCACAGACCAGGCGCACAGGTTGGCTCCGGGGTCACTGGCCCGTACCTGTAAGAGACAAGCCCTAAGCAGAGCGTGTCTGTGTGTCGGCGCCTTTAGCCGCAGGGAACACGGTCGGACCTCCACGCTCCGAGCAGCTGGGCTCAGCGCTGGAGTGCCCCATCTCTGTTAATCTGAATTATGTACTTGTTCAACAAAGTGCAGGAACTTGGTATGAGGCGTTGGCTGGTCTGACACCCCAGAACTATGAGCTTCGTTCTGATGTGAAACTCCCAGGAGCTCCTCCAGGCTCTGTAGGACGTGACTGTGGGCCCCTCCCAGGAAGCAGCCTCGTTCTCTGGGCCGCAGCCGTGGCCCCTGTGGCCCCCTCCCCACATGGTGCCTCTGAGGAGCAGGTCCCTGCCTGCAGGTCAGAGCTGTGGCTGAGTCCTTCCAGGGGCCGCTGACCTGGAGCCCTTTCGCTCCTCGGCACCCGCATCTGGAGAGCGGGGTGCTGGCCGCAGCTCACCCGTGTTCGACTGATGTTTCTGCAGTGCTGCCAGACTCCCAAGCCTGCCCAGGTGCCGCGGGGTAGATACGAGGACACCAGCATGGCCTGGCCTGACCCCAGCACCTGCCACTTCCAACACTGCATGAGACATCGACTAAGGGCGACTTGGGGGCCCTGGGGGCAGCCACGCAGAAAAACAGGCACAGCCTCCATCTGGACGCAGAAACTGTGTCCTCTGGGCTGTGCATGGAGCCACCGTGGCAGAGCCACAGCCACCACCTAAGTTGCTGGTTCAATGCCGGAGCTACGGCAGTGCAGCTCTGCTGGGACGCAAACGGCCGCAGGGACCCCGAGTGTGGCAGGCAGAAGCCAGGGGTTCTGGGGTCAGCAGAGGGAGCTCTCGGGCAGCCCCAGGAGGGCCCCTCAAGCAGGCCCTGGGAAAGAGGCCAGAGGGCCACCTGAGCAAGGCGGGCAGGGGCAGGATGAAGGTCAGACAGCAGCCCCCTTGAAGGTCACCCAAGCTAAAGAAACGTGGCCAAAGGCCAGGCCACGCCCCTCATGCCCGAGACAAAGGGACATCAGTGCAGCTCGCATGTAGCAACTGTGCCCGGCTGCCCTTAGGAAAACACACCCCACATGCAGGAGGATTCAGAGCCCCGTTCACGTTTCCTGGTCGAGAGGCGCCCCCCTCTGCTGGAGGGAAATCAGCAGCCTGCACGGCGCAGCGGGTGGCCCTGCCAGCCCGGAGCTGCCCGGTCCTCGCTCACCCAGGCTCCCAGGCAGCCGAGAGCCTCCCGTGAGGCCTTCGCCCAGCTCAGCCTGGACATCACAGATGCACACGTCTGAGTCCCGTGACGCCACAGGACCGCCTCCAGCGCCTGCGTCCACAGACATGCTCCCACCCGGTTCTGCCCCAACCGTCTGCATGTCCTTCTCAACTTTCAGCTGGTTCTGCGGCTGCCTTTTCTCCCACCAGCCCCAACAGGATGAAGTTCAGTGCCAGCAAGACCAGACACGCGAAGGACCCTGAGGCAACCATGCACGTGACAGGGGCCTAAGGACCTCTGCAGTGGGCAGGCCCCGGGGCCCAGGAGACTGTGCAGGGGAAGGCTCCCTGGGTGGGGCTGTGCACACAGGCCTCGCTGGTGGCCCTGCGGCTCTAGGGGGACCGCAGCCTCTCCACACAGGCCCGAGCCTCTGCCCTCCCTGAGGTGGCAGGAGGGGGGCAGGGGGCAGCCCAGGTCGCTGTCATGAGCGTGGGAGATGGGAACGTCTCTTAGTGCAGAAAGCCCCCGGCAGGCTGGGAATGTACTCCATGGCGTGTGCAGCCTGCCTCTTGGGAGAACGCAACTCTGTCGTCCTAGGGTGAATGTCACCTTTGAGTCTCTGCTGGGCTCACCATTTACATTCCAACAGCTGATAGCAGATTTAAAAGCAAACAGATGAATAAGGCCGTGGAGATAAGAGTGTTGTGGGGGGGGCATGTGGTTAGGGGCACTGGGCAGACGCCCTGAGCTGAGCAGGCGATCCAGGCCAGGCGGCAGGTGCCACAGCCCAAGGCAGGCGCAGGGACAGACGGGGACCAGGGCCCCCAGAGGCCGGGTGGGGAGGGAGTGGTGAGGACCAGCTGGCCTGGCTTGGGGGGCCTGTGGACTCAAGGACCCCTGGCTTCCTTGTGGGCACACAGCATTCTCCGCTGTCCAGGGGCAGCCCCACCAGGCCAGAGGTGACAGCTGTGTGGTGCAAGAGTGGCAAAGGGGTCTGGGGGGGCATTTGTGAGGTTGAGGTGGGCACCACGGCACAGCTGAGGGGGGCTCCATGTGGCACAGGGAGACACCATGTAGACTGGCTGGCAGGGTCACCACCCCCCAGGACGAGTGTCCCCAGGACCAAACCGGAGAGGCCACCGGGACTCCAAACCCCCAGGCAGGGAGCCAGGACCCTGCGGTCCCCTCTTCTGCTGAGCAGGTGTTCCGCACACTCAGGTCCCCAGCAGAGCAGCCAGAAGGGACCTCCCAGAATCCTGGTCCCTGCCCTTTGCCAAGCTGCCTCCCCACCCTGCTGAGCAGGGCTGGACGGGCCTCCACCCGGCCACCACCTCCTCCCAGCAGGAGTCAGCGCCTGAGGGCTGGGTGTCACTTGGCCCACCCACCATGTACCCCCTATCAAGTGGGTGGCCACCTCATGGCAGGAAGGCAGGGCCAGCCCTCCCTCACCCGTCTGGCCTACCAGCAGCCCCAGCGCCTCGAAGACCAGCTTCTCATATGGCTGCCCAGATCTGCCGCCCCGCCCACCTGCCCTCCCGAGCCACACACCCAGATGAAGCTCAGGGCACAGGATCATTGCACCTCTACATCCCCATCTGCCTCCTCCACCCACAGCCGGCACCCATCTGTCCACCCACAGGGAGGACGCAGCCAGTCGTGGGCAGTGGGGGGCCAAGATGCTCGCCATAGGGGAAGAACACCCACCAGGGAAAGGGCTGGAGCTCAGACACTGGCACTCCTGCCAGCCACCAGGCTGGGCTGGGGCTGGGGGCGCTCTCCCTTGTTCCAGCCCGTGTCCTCCCAGACCATCCGCCTCCCAGCCAGCCTTGGGATAGGCCCCCAGGACCCTCCTCGGCCCCCACACGTGGCTCCCTGGGTGGGGCTGTGCACACAGGCCTCAGCGCAGAGAGCCGCACACAGGGAGTGTGCCCTGCACGTGCTAGAGACGGAGATGGAGGGGCCCTAAGAACCCCGACGCAAGGAAAAGGGGAGGAAAAAGGGCCCCATGGGCACTGCCAGTGGCTGCTGGCGCTCAGGGTGGCTCTGAGGTGCAAGCAGGGTGGCGTTTTCCTATGAGAGAGGCCGGTGCCCAGCATCTTTCAAGACGCCACAGCCACAGCAGCGCTGCTCCCTGTGGGCGGCTGCAGCTTCATCAGAAAATTCCCAGCCCTTTCTACACAGGGAGGCTTGGAGCTATCCGGAAAACCGATTCGACTTTCCACCCCAGCATCGCGTGGATACAGCTTATGCAGCAGCAGAAACAAGAGTTCCGGGCATTTGTTTCAGACAGGCACCTTTGTGAGCACGTGGCTGTGCATGTGGAGGCCCCGGAGCGGGGATCCCATGTGGTTGTCCCCACATGGACCTGACGCTCATACTTGCAGATCGTTAGATCAGCGGGTGGAAGCAGGTCCAGCTGCATGAGGAGTGAGGCTCCTGCCCATGCCCACCCCACCCCCACACCATCTCCGAGTGACTCAGGGCTGCTCTCCGACTGGGGGTCACAGACCAGACGACACCCCAGCCACAAGGCCAGCGGCACCTGAGGCTCAGGTCGGCCAGCTAAAGAGGCTCAGGTCGGGCCACGCCTGGCGCACAGCTCAGGGGATAGGCCCAGCCAGCCCCAGAGCTGAGCAGGGGCGCAGGCCTGCCCGTAGCAGAGCCGCAGGTCACCCCAGCCACAGGCCGGCCACCTGCACAGCGCCTGGGCCCAGCGGGGGCCTTGGTGGGGCTACACGAAGGCAGGGGCCAGCAATGGAACAAATGCTTCACATGCTAGGACACTGAGTCCTCCTCCACAGTCACAGGCTCACACTCCTGCAGGGCTCAGAGCTCAGGTCTCCAAGCGGCCTGCTTCCTGGGGCCAGGCCCAGCTCCTGGGACAAGCCCAAGCCTCCGTCAGCCATTCCAGCAGCTTCTCCACCCATTGCACAACACCCCTCCCATCTCCCCAAATGAATTGCATTTCTAGAAAGCACAGGGTGGTGTGTGTGTTAGGGAAAGGTCTCACTCAGGGTCCTGGCCCCTCACCCGTCCCACAGGTGGGGAGTCTGGGAGAAGGGTGCAGAAAGCAGTGAGCTACCATCAGGGGGCCACCGGGCAAGACACTGCGGGGAAGGCTCACCCGGAAATATGGGGCAGGCAGGGGCCTTGCCGGGTGAACTGATACCCACGGGGGAGACTCCCTGTGTGAGTGTGAGTGTGAGTGTGTGTGTGTCTGCCTGTCTGTCTGTGTGTCTGTGTGTCCGTGCGTGCCCCTGTACGTGTTGGGCTTGGCAGTTGACAGACTCTCTGGCCCCAGCCTGCCCTGGCCCCGACCTTCGGGATGGCTCCATCCACGGTTCATGCATCTGTCTGGGAGAGGATGGAAAGACATGGACGCTGGCTCAGTGTGGGGCACTGTTTGGCTATCGCTGGAGACAGAGATAATGGTGAAGCCACTTCCAAGGATAAGATTCCACCCCTCAAGTTGAACAGAGTAAAATACTTACACATGAAATGATACAATGTCTGCAATTTGCTTCAAAGGAATATGGGGAGGGAAGAAATGGGCTGGGGGCTGAAGGAAGCTTGGCCACAGGTGGATGCCTGCTGAGATTGGGAGCTGGCACCGGGGGCTCATTACATCTGTGCTTTTGTACATGTTTAAATTTTTCTATGGTAAAACACTAAGAAGTGAGGAAAAGGAAAGAGGTATCCACCTGGATGCATCTGAACGCCGGAGTCTTCTCCACAGCTGACATTCTCCTGGCTGCTACTGTCTCCTTTTGAAACCACTCCATGGTTCCGACCACAGTCCTTAGCGGCTGCCGCCCTCTGAGCACCTGCTCTGGGCCAGCACTGGGCCAGATGCTCTCATGCACATTAGCTTGATGTTCCCAACAGCTTTGGAAACAAAGAAACTGAGGCCACAATGGCCAAATTGAGCACCCCAAGATCACACAGGCAGCATGACCTTACAGATGGAAAACCCTAAGACACCCGCCAAAAAGTGTTGTGACTGTTCAGCGGGTTCCGTGGGGTTGCAGGGTGCAAGATCAACATAAAATCAATTGTATTTTTATATACTTGCACCAAACAGTCCAAAAATGAGGTTAAGAAACAATTCCACTCACCATAGTCTCAAAAAGAATAAAATGCTTTAACAAAAAAGTGCAAAACTTAAGCTCTTAAAACAACTGGAAAAATACCCCACATTCGTGGGTCAGATGCTTAACATTTAAGATGGCAGAATTCCCTGAACTGATGTGTAGTTTCTACACAATCCCTCAGAATTTCAGCTGACTTCTTTGTAGAAACTAACAAGCTGGTTCTGATCCTCATGTGGGATGGGTAAGTGCACGGAATAACCAGGACGATCCCAAGAGAGCGGCACGTGGGGAGGAGCCACGTGGGGAGGAGCCACCTGGGGAGGAGCCATGTGTGCTAATCTCAAACTTAGCACAAAGGAACAGTCACCCAGACAGCGTGTACTGACAGACGACAGACACAGGGATCAGCAGAACAGAACTGAGAGCCCAGAACTAAACACATATCTGTGGCCAGGTGATTATCAGTAAGGGTGTCAAGACCACTGAATGGGAAGGGACAGTCTTTTCACCAGATGGGGGAAAACTGAGCCATGTGCAAACGCTTGAATGTGGACCCCTATCTCCCGCCATACATAAAAACGTACCAAAGACTGAAATGTAAGTGATCAAACCCTTAGAAGCCATAGGGGGAAATCTTCATGACCTTGGAATTTGCATAGGAGTCTTAGAAATAGCAACAAAAAAAATAGTTCAGTTGGGCTTCATCAAAATTGAATACTTTTGTGCCTCAGAGCACACCATCAAGAAGGTGAAAAGACAGCCCGTAGAACAGGAGAGAATATTTGCAGTTTGTGTATCTGATGAGAGACCTGCAGCTAGAATGTGTGAAGGACTCTGACAGCTCAACAGAGAGACAAGTCACCCAAATTAAAAGCAGGCAGAGGACCTGAATAGACATTTGTCCAAAACAAGGTAAAAAAATGGCCAATAAGCACATGACAAGAAGCTCCATGTCATTAGTCATCAAAGAAGTGACATCAAAACCACAGTCCCCCACACTCCATGACCACCAGAATGGCTGGAATGAGAGCGAGACAGTGACACGGGGCAAGGAGGTGGGGGGGCGAGGGGAGCCCCACACACTGCTAGCAGGGAGCCCACTGTGCCCACCTTGGGATGACTTTACGGTGAAACATAGGTGGATCACACGACTTAGTGACCCTGTCCTAGGCACGTGCCCTAGAGCGGTGAGGGCGCTGTCCCCAGAAACCTCGCTGGACGTCTGAGCAGCACCGCTCACCAAAGTCAAGCCATGGAACATCCCTAACGTCCGTCCACCAAGACAGAGGCACCGGGGCCCCGCACACACCACCGGCCGTAAGAAAGCGAGAAGCTCTGACACGCGCACAGGGGCAAACCCTGAATGCACTAGGGGGTCCACTCAGGTTGGAGTCCAGGGCAGGGTGTCTGGGCACAAGGCACCCAGGGGTTGCTCAGGGAGCAGGTGGGGCGGGGCCCGGGAGCAGCCAGCACAGTTTCTTGTCGAGTAACTGGAATGTCCACATGGCCACGGTGGGAGCTGCATGCATCTGGGGGTACAGTAAATCCATCGGACTGCACACACCGAATGGGTGAACTGTGGCATGGGGATGATCTCAATAAAGCTGGTTTTAAAAAGGGTGCCATCTAGGTATTCAGAAGCCAGACTATGTCCACACCACCCACAAGCGGCAGACCACATGCCACCAGGCGCATCACTGTGGCCCCCGCCTCACAGCCATCTGCCGCTTTGGGGAGGTTGCACAGAAACTCATGTCGGGAGACCCTCACCCAGTAGGCAGGGGCCCCAAGAACTGCTCTTGGGACAGGACACCCAACCCAGCCGAGGCCCGAGCATGCTGAGAGACCTCAGTCCAGGAGAGCTTAGAAGTTTTCATACCCCAGAGTTAGGACAAGATGCTAGAGCTGTGGGTTCAGAAAGAGGGTGCCCATTCACACATGCTTTTGTCTGAATTTTGTACACCAATTTCATTAATATAATTTAATTTCCAACCCCCAAGCCCCCCCATGTCCCAGCCCTGGCTGCCTGACCCCATGGGGAGCTAGTAGGATGCACCCTGCAACACCCACTTAGACTAGGACATGAATGGCACCCACAAAGTGCTGCGTCTAGGGCTGTGCAGAGCACAGCTGGGGAACCTGGGCTCCGATCCTGTAGGCTACTGGGCTGGAGCAGACATTGTCCCAGGAGCACCCACGGTCACTGGGGGCGACTCTCCCCACTCGCCACCCCACCTTCGAGAGAAGTGACGTGCATTCTTACCATCTGCCTTCTGTTCTCCACCAGGTGGATGCCAACGATTCCCAGGAAAGATCCAAAGCCCAGCTGACAACAAAGGGAAACGGGAGGGACCCATGGTCAGCGCTGCTGGTGGCCGATGGCTCCCTGAGCAGCCTGCCCCGCACAGGCCCTGCTGCCCCTGAGAGCATTCTATCCCGCCTCACAGAGGTTCAGCCACACGGGCAGGTGGGTCCCACCTGCTCAGCGTGCAGGGGGCCTCCTGGAACAGTGTGGCTGAAACATGAGCCCCGCGGTCACTATGGTAACTTCTGGGGATGGCACAGAGGGGCACCTTCCGGTCACCAGGGTGCCCTGCGCCAGGTCATCAGGGGGTGCCCACTGCCCATCTCCCCTGCACCAGCGCCAAGTCCCGTAGTGGGAGAGGGCCCCGCAGGTGAGATGGGAAACCAGAGCCAAGGGCGGTGCCGTTGTACAGACACAGCTGAGCCCGCTCGGAAATGGGCTTCTGACCCTGCTGAGCAGGCACACAGGTGATGTTGGGGGAGGGAAGGAGAGGTGGGAAGGGGGCTCCAGGCCGGGCAGGCTCCTGGCCATCAGCCTCTTGTTCCCCAGGAGGAGGCTTGTCCCTGACCCCCGAGAGGAAGGGATGCTGGGACATTGGAGGACACACACGTGGCCGTCCTCACCTCCGAATGAAGGGCCTGAGGGCTGGGACCAGGACTCATACACCTGCGTGTGGGCCCCATGCCCAGGGCGCTCCTTCAGCCAGGACCCCCATGTCCAGGGACCCCCAGGGCCTGCACCACCCCCCACCCAGGGGCCCAGGGCCACACTCTCCTCGGCTCTGGGTGTCTCTCGCCTGGGGGACCCAGCAGGATAATCGCCCCCTTGCCATAAGCCCCCCACGTCCGCAGTCTGGGAAGTGGGCCGAGGGCACCTTTGGGCTCATCACTGTGCTGGCCACACAACCAGCAGAGGTTTCCGTGCCCTGAACCTCCCGCTCCGCCAGCTGGGAGCGGTGTGTGGAGGCAGAGCCCCTCCCTCGGCCACCCCAACCACGTCACTCACTATGATCCCCGGGTAGTAGCCGCCCACGGTCACGTTCTCCGTGCGGGTGGTGGCAGCAAGGCCGACCGTCAGGATGAAGATGGACGTCGCTAGCAGAGACCCCACAAACCAAAGGGAAGTCTTCTTTCTTCTCATGAACCCTTCTGAGGGGAGAAAGAGCAGTTAGTGAGGGGTGGAGGCTCAGTTCCCCAAGGGGTCTCAGCAGAGGCAGCCTGGGATGTGCCCCCTGCTTCCCCAGGGACACTGAGGGCCTCTGGAAGACACCCCCAGCCCCACACGCATGATTTCTTCCCATCCACCTGCTTCTCCAAGCAGTATCCGGAGCCACCCTCATCGCACTCAGTCTGCCCTACTGAGTGCCTGCTGGGTCCTGGTGACAGTCCCCGCGTGGTTCATCTCCACTTGCCCAACGCCCACAGGCCTCGTCCCTGACCCCCACCCACCCAGAGGGACCGGTGTTTGCTCCCCCGTGTGTCCCCCAGATAGCCCTGTGGGGGCAGGTGGGCACTGCTTGCTCCCCGAGGCACCCCTCGCACCTAAACTGTGCCCACCGGGCAGGGGCACAGCGGCACTGTGGCACTGTGGGCGGCCCCTGCACAGTCCGCACAGTGAAGCCAGCCTTTCTTGGGCAGCTGCTCCATGCCAGCGGCTCCAAGCACCCACCCCACGCTGGGACCTTGCCCAGTCTGTGGGCCTGGACACCGGCCACCCTCCAGTCACGGTGCTGCCCGGACCTGGCTGAGAGGCCCCGCACCAGAGTGACATGCTGCCCCTGCCCACAGGCCAGGCTGTCTCACCCAAGGGCACAGAGGGAGTCTGGCTTGTTCCCCATCTCCAGCCAGCTCAGAGCCAAACACCCGAACAATTGGATGGGGAGGAGGCAGAAAAAAAGCGTCAGTGTGCCAGCATCCCCCTCGCCCACCTCACGTCCATGTCCCCCTCGCCCGAGCAACCTTCCACAGTGCTGGCTGTGCAGACATGCCAGCTGAGCAACTGCGTTCCCAGCAGACCATCACCCACCAGAGCAAAGGATGTTGCTCGGGAGCCTTCGTCCGTCCACGGCCTGGAATACAACCGTAAGGGCAGAGCCCCAGCTGCCACTTTGGGCCATGAAGGAACCTTGAGATGAAAGCTGACGTGCAGAATGACAGGGAAGAAAGACAGCCCCGTGTCAGCTACCCCGAACTGTGATTAGGTGGCAAAATAAACGTCTGACTGTAAGGCGCTGCTTTGGACAGCCTGCTCTTCAGAGCCAGACCCAGTTCTGACTGCCACTGAACCCCAGGGAGCAAAGAGAAGGGAAACCCTCCTCCCTCGAGTCCTGGTTTCTGGTTCCCTGTTGGTCTAAGGAAGGGGGGAAGCCTCACTACAAAGACCATCCGCTCTCAGCAACCGCATGACCGAGGCAGGGCAGTCGGCTGGGGAGGGGCGGCTCGGGACTCCACACAGACCCACCCAGCCTGGACACCTGGCCATCTTGTACCTTTTGGCTCCAAAACAAAATAGGAGATGGAAGAAAAACACGGTACTTCTACCTACACTCCAGTTTTCAAATAGACATTGTATGTGCTTAATGAGGGGAGGCAGCCGCATCTGTGCTCACAGCCTCGGCTCACAAGACTGCCCGCGGTGCCACATGCAGACGTGTGTCACACCCTAGAAGGCTCCTGTCTGCAGGTGTGCACTTCACAGCCCTAGAGCAAAGCTTCAGGGCGAATCAAGGGTACAACCCCCAAGAACAGAAATAAATCCCACAAAGCCACAAACCAATATGCAAACTCAGAACAACTTGGCTGAGCTGAGAACGCCAGCTGACCCAGTAAGGGCGGATCTCCCAGGAGAGACACTTCATTCTGGGACTGAGTGGGGCCCAGCTGAAGGCCCCCTGCCCCCCGCACTCCCCGTCTCAACACAGCCCCAGCGAAGCCTGCTTCCTCCAGACCCTTGTCCCCGAGAATCCCTCCTCAGTCACCTGCCACCTTCACTCTGGGGAGACGGAACCTGCTCACTCCCTGAGATGCTAAGCCACCAGCTCAGTCCTGGGGTGTCGCAGAGGCAGGCGGCTCCCCTGGAACAGAGGTCCTTCCTCCCACGCTCTCTGCAGGCCCCGCCTGCCCAGCCCCTCTCCAGACTCAGAACCGGGGGTTTGAGATTCGATCCCGCTCACAGGCCCCAGAGCTCCCCGCGCTGAGGGCCCGCCCCGCCTCCCTAACACAGGTGTTCTGGGAGGTGTTCCCTTGTCCTGGGAAAATGCTCTCACCTGCCCCCAGCTGTACCGGATGAGGCTCGGAGGGCTGTGAGCCGAGGAGGCGGCCCCTGGGGATCTCTGATTCCGGAGCGCTGAGGCTGCCTTGTCAAGAGCAAACTACAGGCAGGGCAGCTGGGGAAAATCTGCTCCAGGGGCTCCTGCCGATGAGCTGCCAGCCCGGCCACACAGCGTAAGGCAGAGCCTCCCCCAAGGGGTGCCCATCCGTCCCCACCTCCAGGGCCACCCCCTTAACCACAGAGTCCTGCCCCTCCAGGGCTGCCGTGTGCCCCTGCCGGGGTCACTTTGCTCGTTCAAGCCCTGTGGATGCCCCTGGCCATGGCCTCCCTGCGCCCTGTGGCCTCTGCAGAGTGTATGTTGAAGGGATGAGCAAGGCGTGGCCCCACGAGCAAAGGAACACCCCGGCCCGCACTCCACGTCTCAGCACATGTTCTAAGGGACACCCCACCTCCGTCCAGCCACACACTGGCCGCCCCTGGCTACCATTCCCTGAGGTGCTCCAGCTAGCCAAATGCTGGGCCCTGCGGCCGATGCCAGGGCCACTGTGGGACTCTGGAAGACAGGCCTGCCCGAGGCGAGACCAGAAACACGTCACTTCCTGTGCCTGCCGCCCTGGTGTGACGGTGGCAAGGGCCGGGCTTGGGGAGAGGTGCCAGGTGGCCGCTGATGCACCCGGCGAGGGGGCTGGTGTCTGCGCCCCAGCGGCCAGTGCAGGCCCTGGGGCTCCAGCGTCTGGAACCAGCCCGCCTACCCCACCCCCCGTGCTTCCTTCCGGCCCTGCAGCCACCCTGGGCCTCTTCCCCTCACCTCTCGTTATGTTTGTGAACTAAACAGCAACCCGAACTGGGGCTAGGAGATATTGCCAAAGTGATAGTGACATTTTTACAAGGAAGAGTGTTGTACATTAAAAATGTATGATTTTTATTCTGCTCATAAATGCAATCGTTATGTTTTGTAGAACATTTATAAAGTACAACAAAATTCAAAAGAAAAAATAACATTCACAATAATCCCCTCACCCCAAATTGGCAAGTGGGATATAATCTTATGGTCCTTTTTCAATACACTCATCTACTTTTTAAACCATTCTTCCTTACATTGAGACTGAAATGTTTTAAAACCTGAAGGCTTTTTTTCATTAATGTACTGTTAGCATGTTTCCTCCTTGTCACACACCTTCCCAAACATCTTGCCCACAACCCACGCTCAGTTGGCATCTTACACGCTTTCCCCCACACCTCACGTGGTGAGTGCACGTACCACTGACTTACGGATCTTCATAGTCAGGAGCCTGCGGGGTGCGGGGGGGTGGCCAGTCGAGGGCATATGGGAAATCAACTTACCCTCTATTTTGCTGTAAACCTAAAACTGGTCTAAACAATCAAGTAGATATCCTTAAAATCCCACAAAGTGATAAATGTCTTTGTCTATAAATCTTTCTATCACCTCTAGTTACTTCCGGATGAATTCCTGCAGGGGGGGTTTGGGGCCAAAGGGGAAAGCAGAGGCCCTAAGTGAGACGTGACCTCACAGAACCGGTGGTGACCCTGCACCCTCGCCGTGGAAGGAGCTCTCAGGGGCTCCACGGAATTCTTCCTCTTTGCCCAAGAGTAGGCGCAGCCTCACCTGACTGTAAATCGCCCTTTCAGTCCCTGTCGTCCAGTAGTTTGAATTACAGACATGGGAGAATCACTGAGGATGAAACATTTATAGCGTCTGCAGGAAAACAGCCCCCAGCAGGCAGACGCTGGCTCGCCCTGGACGCTCCACGGGGCTCTGCCCCCCTGCCTACTGGCTGCATCTTCCCTGCAGAGACGTGCCCGCGCACCATGCTCTTTTCATCTCGTGCTTGCTTAAGGCCTGAGACAAGGGTATCTGTCCAGGGTGTTTGGGAGTCTGGAAGGTCGCGGTCAAGGGGGTGCAGCAGCAGGTGGGGTGTCTGTGGGAAGCAGAGGACACCGCAGAGACACTTTCTAGGGTAGGAAAAAGCCACAGGGGTGAAATTCAGCTCTGAGTAACCTCAGAAGGGCAGGTAAATTGGGGGAAATTGACACAAAAGTTAAAAATACACCTTCTTCTACGTGTTGGAAGCTAATGGAACTGCCACTGTGGAAGCTCCGAAAATGGTCACATGCGCACGGCAACACCACGAGGTGGGCAGCACCAGCCTCCCCCGAGGGCTCCTGGTCTCCAGATGCCCTCCCAGCCCCTGCGTACGAACCAGGGGCCCCTGGCTCCCGTCTCCTCTTCAGCTCTCTTCCCAGACCTCTCCCAGGTTCCCGTGCAACCCCGGGATCGTGAAGAGCAGTGAGATGCCAGAACCAGATGCCACAGGACTAAAGGCCTGACAGAACCGCCACAGATGCCCTCCCACTCAGGGGGCCTTGTTCACCACCCTTCCCGACTCAGGGCACCGCACGTCCGTCCTGCCCCAGGTAATTAGCCAAACGCCTCCGCACCCACTGAGCCACGGCTCTCCCCGCGTGGGCCTCGCCTCCCGGGTCCTGGGCCATGGGGCCCCTCGGCTGCCGGCTGGTTGTCGAGGCTCGAGGCTGTTTCTGTGGTCCCTTCGGGGGTGCTAGGGGGAGGGTTGGGGACCCGGCTGCAGCCTCTCGGCTAATGGTTCTGGTTGGCCCGTCAGATCCGGGAGGGACTTCCTGACATGCTGATCACGGAGTGTAAACCTACACACATCTCCTCTGGTATCATGCAAATCTTCCCATGAACCATTTTCAAGAAAACTTTGCCTTCTCACCACTTTCTCCTGAGTCTGACATTCCCACTGAAACTGCTAATGATGCAACCAGCGATGTGAGCAGCCCTTCATGTCGGCTTCCGAGCCGAGGTTCTGAGGCTGATACAAGTTCAGAGGACGCCGGAGGGGATGGCTCTGAGCCACTGCAGTCTGACGACCCAAACTGGGACGCTCCAGCCCCAGAAACAGCAGGGAAATCCTGGCCTTTCCTACTTTGTATGGATATAGGATGTGGCATAAAATTTGCCAACAAGAAATAAACTCAAGAGGAGACAGTAAGATAATTACCATAGCCCTACGTGCTTTTAGGGTGGGTCTGAGAAGAAAGGGCTGCACACTGGAGGGAGAGGACTTTGATCAGCCCGCAGCCCCCGGTCCGTAGCAGGTCTGGTGCTGACGGTCCGCGGGCCTCCAGCTCCTGAGCTGCAGAGGGGGCGGTGACAGCCCCATGCTGTGCCTTCCTCCCACTGATCACGAGCGTCCAGTGAGAGGCCACCTGGCGCAGTTCCCACATGCTGGTGAGGAGTGTGTGTGCCAACTGTGGGTGGCATGGCGCTGGGTGGGCATCATGGCTGCCCCCCCACCAGTCGCTCCCTGGCATTGAGGGGACAGCCAGAGGGGTGATGGTGCCTCCTCCCCCGGCTGTGGCCTGTCCCCTGCCGCCTCCTCTCCAGGCCCTGCAGCTGGTCAGTCGGCCTCCTGCCTGGCTGCTGGCCGCAGAAATGTAGGTAGAAAACACCCATAATCACACCTCCAGCCACACTGATGTTCCGGATTTTTTAATGAGACCAACTCCTAGGATTATTTTTTTAATTTTCAATTCCTTCCTTCTTAGGAAAAAAGGCCGAGCCAGATGGTATTTCTTAAAGCATCAGCCATTCTAGTATAATAATATAATAAAAACTAGCTAATAGCAGATAGTTATTATTGACATGAAGGCCCATGTACAGAAGTTTGCCCTAGAGCACTTTTCATTAGAAAGTGGAGGGTGTGGAATTACTTCTTTGAGGAAGAAACCAGGTTCTCTGATAGCATTTAAAAATCAAACGACATTAACTAATATGATTTTAGAAGACGCTGCAACAGGCTGTGAGGCCCTACAGTTTGGAAGGGGCCAGCGGGGCCCTCTGATGTCCCCCAAGCATCAGGTCAGGAGAACAGCCACATTGTCACGTCCGGCTGCTTCTTGGCAGGGGCCAGACCCCCTGAGAACCAGGTCTCTGCTCCAGGCTGCCCCTGAGCCTGGTTCTGTGGGTCAGAACCAGACACCACACGGGACCTGGGGGAGGGTGTGCGTGGAAAGCACAGCAATGGAGCTTGTCACGTCACAGGGGAAGCAGCTGCCCAGAGGTCCAGACAAGTTTCCCTGGGGTTTCTGGGGACCGGAAAGGGAGTCTGGGCTGGGCCGTCCAGTTCTCAGGTGTGGGTTCTGCTATAGTAATAGAAGAGAGTGGGAAAGAGATGGGGAGAGACAGACACAAAGGCACAGGGAGATGGGGAATGGGGAGGTGGGGCGGGGGGTGAGAGGGTCAGAGGACAGGACAGGGACAGGAGACTAGAGGGTCAGGGGACAGGGAGGACAGGGGAGGGACAGAGGCTGTGCACAAAGGACCCACACAGAGCGAAGCGTCCCAGGTTAAGGCTCCTGGGAGGCAGGAAGGCCCTGCCTGGTGGGAGGCTGGCACTCACCTGTCATGTCCAGCAGGGCCGGGGGCCTCGGCTCAGGCAGCTGCATCCTGGCGGCTCCTGGGGCGCCTCTCGCGGTGTGACAGCGACAGGCCAGGTGCGGCGGCCGCGAGATCAGCTTCCCCAGAGCCCCGCCCCTTCTCCTGGGGTCTGTGCTTCCAGCCACCTGCGTCCCCCACATCTCCCCCCGAGGAAATGACCAAGGGCTGCGGCTCCCACTCAGGCCGCCCTCCACATTCATGGGAACATTGTTTAAATTGCTGCTGTCCTGGACCAAGCAAGTGAGACTCTCTGGTTGGAGTGACTGTCAAGAACCCAGTCACCCTGAAGGGTCCGCTCACCATGACAGAGAAACGTGTTCATGTGCACAAGCTGCCAAGCCGACACACACAGCCCCGTGTGTGGCCGAAGAGCTGGGCACGGCCTGCACACCCGGCGTCGGGATGAGGAGAAAGAAAGGGATGCGATGTGAGTGAACTCAAAATGGGTTAAAGGCCTGAGTGTAAAACCTAAAACTGTAAAACTCAAAAGCCAGGAAACAGAGGCAATAAAGTCTTGGACACGGGCACTAGCAATTTTTTTCTGTGTGTGTCTCCCCAGGCAAGGAAACAAAGCAGAAATGACCATGTGGGGATGCATTAGACTAAAAAGCTTTTCAGAGGACACCACCGACAAAACAAAAAGGTCCCCCCACTGACCGGGGGAAACACTCACAGATGATGAGCCCAGCAAGGGGCTGACATCCAAAATACGTAAAGAACTCATAGGACTCAACACCAAAAATAAATAATAAACAAACAAATAATCTGACTAAAAAATGGGGGAAGGACCTGAGCAGATTTCCTCCAAAGACATACACATGCCAACAGAACATGAAAAGCTGCTCCACGTCATTAATCACCAGGGAAATGCAAATCAAACCCACAAGAAATCACTTCACACCAGTCAGAATGGCCACCTTCCAAAAGACAAGAAATAACAAGTGTTGGCGAGGATGTGGGGAGATGGGAGCCCTCAAGCACTGTTGGTGGGAATGTACATTGGTCCATCCACCATGGAAAGCAGTATGGAGGGTCCTCAGAAAACTAAAAACAGAAATACCATACGGTCTATC